TTTAAAAAGCACATCATCATCTTTACCGGGTTGTAATGATAGAAAGGAATATTTATACAAACATGCATCACTTATGACAAAATAAGTCTTGTCATGGGCTGTTCACTCACTGTCAATCAAGGCAACAAAATCCAGGGCTTTATGTACAATAAGTGATCTATTTTTATGCTGTCTGAATAGAATTCCGGTTTAATACACGCTCGATTTGAAGTGCACCATGATCCCAAATCATTTAGCTCACAGATGTAATCACAAACACAAGCTGTGGTCGTACACAGATGAAAATCAATTACCATAAATATTGAGGAAAAAAAAAATCAAAACTCTGCACTCACAGAACTTATTCATTTCATGGACATCATTTGTTCTAAAAAACACTTCTGTGTATCGCACAAGATTTCCTATGAAAATGAAAAGGTATTCCATCCAAAATAAATCCTTTTCAACTGTTGCTGACGCTAAAGAAACATACGGTTTAAATATGCACTTGTGTCATGTTGATGGAGAGGGGGACCAGCAGACTGGACTCCAGGGACTTCTACTGCTGAGCTATCAACACCACCATGTTTCACTTGAGCAAATTACCATATCAGCAGCATGATCTGAAAGCAGTCCAAGAAATCACAATCTCTGCTGATGCACAATTAAAAGATGTCAAACTCGGTTTCTTTTACACTGTTTTGGTTCTGGCTGTCAGCGCATCAAACATTATCTTAAAGAGGACTCATTTAGCAGAGAAAAGAGACTGGCCAGGGTCACTGACAGTGGAGAGAGGGCTCAGTAGCCCGTGGCATGTGGGTATCCAAGGAGCACAAAAGAAATGGGAACATGATAAGAAAAGTAGTGATGGCGGGAGGGTGTGGGCTTGAGGGGGGGGACTCCAACTTTCCTGCCCAGGTCTCTCCTGGGAACCTGGGGGCTAAGACGCTGGAGCTCCTCCACACAGGTATCATGTTCAGCCGGTCCTTCAGTACAGCTGGGCTCTAGTCCAAATCTCCCTGACTGTCTGCCTCAGTGTAGAGAGGTGGAGGCGCCATAAGGTAACAGTAGCAGAAATGCCAACAGGTGAAACCGAATATTCAAGTTAAGCTGTTATTGTCATTTCACAGAATAGTGGCATTAAGCTTTTCAACCCGCCTTAGCACAAGTTTCGTGCAATTATTTGCATGGCTGAAAGTGCTCAAACATGATCAGGAAAAGCAAGAAAATGGAAGCATTAATAGATGTTCATGTTCCTCTCCTTCCTTTCTTGTGGAATATGAAAAGTGAGAGAAGGGAGACTGAAACCCATGAGAGTTTCAGACATAAATCAACCTCCCACATCTCCACTTTGACACAATATAATGGACAGACTGTGTCCCCCTTACAAAAGCACAGCGACTGAGGGCCCACTGCTGGATCCGCTGTAAAAGCCTCAGCTCCAAAAGAAAGTGCACTGCCTTCTTTAGACTTCAATTCACTGCCCCTGAATGGCTAATCGACTGCAGAGTGGGAATAAGCTGAAAAAATATCTGTTGAATATTGCACCTCTCACCTTGGATGTGGCTTTGTTTTTATATACTATAAGAAGTCAGTCTGAAGAAATAACTGCTGAAGCTCTGTACCTCCAGAACATTATATTTCTGTCTCTATATTTATGCTTATAAAGCACAAGAAGATTCCTGAGCAAGGCACATGATGCAACAGCTTCATAATCTGCAGCTTTCCATAATAATCATGTTGAATGAAAAATAAATAAATAAAAATCTAAAGCATGTAAACAACTGATGATTATTTACCAAAATGGACAGTTTCAAACAGTTAATCAAATTTAGCTCTCGAAAATAAAAACAGCATTAGCAGTGTAGTATGATCTCGCTCTACCATCATGAATACTCACAGGGAAATAAAAACACCAACTGTGGTGTGCATACTGCTGCAAGAGAGTTAGCTTCATTAGCAATTAATCTATCAAACATTTTTTCAAATAACCAATTAATCATTTGGTTTAAAAAAAAAAGTGAAATGTGTCCAATGAAATTTCCAAAATCCCAAACTGACACCTTCAAATGCTTTTTTTTAGTTGGACTGGCAGACCAAAACCCAAAGATTTTCGATTTCAGACACACACACACAAATCCAAGCAGAATTTAATTTGTTACTTTTGGCAAGTTTGGTGTTTTCACTTGAAATATGACTCAAAAGGACTCATTAAGTTTCAGACTAATTAATTTTCTCTTATTTGTTTTCTTGCTGAGAGTTAATGAGACCGGAAGACTGATACCCCTGTAAGAGGTCACTGCCAGCAGCTGGTTAGCTTAGCTTAGCACATAGCCTGAAAACAGAGGGAAACAGTTAGCTTGGCTTTATGCAGAGCCTACCAGCACCTCAAGATATCATTATTTAACACATTGTATCTTGTTTGCTTAAAACCAAAGTGTAAAAATGCAAACTTGATGTTTCTGGGCCAGAAACAGACTGGTCTAACTCTCTGCAAGAAATACGAAGAAGCATATTTCCCAAAATGTCAGCCTTTTTTTTTTTTTTTTTCTTGTAAATCTCTTTTAAAATTTTGAGTTTTTGCAGACAGGTGCAATGGAACATGAGGACCCAGGGTAGACTCAATGTGTGAACCAATAATTAAGCTTTTGTAAACTCAACTGTGTGGTCTGAACGAGCAAAAGGAGTTTCACAACCTTCTGACAACCACACAGAGGCCTGCTAATCGTCCAAACAACCCATATCCACGCTAGTCTGTTCTTCTTGTCCATCAGATATGTGAAGACTGTAGAGAAGTAGGTGCATCAACATGCTGCATGAAAACCTGACAATAGCTCTATTACACAATCATGTTCTGCTAGCAGAATTAATGAGACGCCACATAAACTCATATCTGCTAAACAGTAAAGCCACTTCCCGCTGGCAGGTCAGTCAGCTGAGCTTGTGTAGTGCAAAGTGAAATGTGAAATATGCACTCACTGCAGAAAAAGCGAGAAAACTACAGTGAGATGAGGCCCCTTGTGGCCACGAGTGGTTTCAATCAATCTGAATTAGAGATGTTAAGGGTTCCAAGGTTTTGTCTTGTTTCAAGTGCAGGGGGAGGGGGGGGGAATTGAAAATTGACCCGGCAGCCTTCATTTAGTGACAATGTGCTAAAGTATCATATAAGGGTATTCATCACAGTGATCTGCACAAACGGGGGCAATACGGTGGCACAAAGGTTTTCAACTGAAAACCATAATACTCATTAGTTTAACACTCAACATCAGTGCCAATCAGAGGCTGCATTAGGTATAAGAGGGTGCCTGGAAAAAATTGCATCCATAAAATAGCTAAAATATATACAACACAGAGAGAGATGCATTAATCAGGCCAGCTGGGTTCTATATGGCAACATTATGCACTAAAACCTTTTATAAATGTTTACATATTGTCTCCTTAATACACTTTCCCTCCGACACCAGCAACAGGTCAAAGTTTTCACTTGTACAGAGAAAAACCACAGCAGAAAGATCTAAAGTTAGACACACTAAAATCATTTGTGGAATTTAAGGACATCATAAAGAACGTAATAAAGGAGACGTGGCTGTTTATCTTGAGTCTATTGTTTTTATCTTGGAATGGATTTTTTTTTCCGTTTGTGTTGTAGAGTCACGGCCAAAAATATCGGACCACTTCTCCCAGAAAATTGTTGCAATCACAGATTCTTTGGTATGCTCATGTTTATTTCTTTTGTTTGCATTGGAACAACACAGAAAAGCAGAGAAATAAAGCCAAATCTGATCCATTTAACAGAGAACTCCAAAAATGGACTGGACAGAATTATTGACACCTTTTCCAAATCACAGAAACGGTTGTATTTCAAGCATGTGATGGCAATATAGAAATCACACTTGAAACCAGTTAAAATAGAGAAAAGATGACTTGTCTTGTGAGTGAAAGAAACTTTGTGTCGTGTGCACTACACTGCTTTTTTGTGTTGTTTCAATGCAAACAAAAAAAATAAACATGAGAATACCAAAGGAGTTATGATTGCAACAATTTTCTGGGAGAAGTGGTGCATTATCTGACAGAAATGCAGGGGTGCCAATATTTTTGGTGTTGAATTCTAATATGCTGCAAATTTACAGGGCTGCCATCTTGGCCAGGTCTCCCTTGAAAAAGAGTTCTTGATCTCAATGGGACTTCCTGGCAAAACAAATGTTAAATAAAAATAAAAATAAAAATAAAATTTTGTAGATATTCATCTTTTCCAAATGATGTATTCTATGATCTGTAGGATGAATTTTACTGACTTTGGTAGCTCCTTGAATTTTCCACTAGCAGGGGACATTTGGAGTTTTTTACTGAAATAACTTCACGCTACTGGATGGACAGTTGCATCTTTTGATATTTTGAGATATTCAGGGTTCCCAGAGGATGAACTGTCAAAACTTTGATGACTTGAACTTTCATGTAGCATAATCATGTCAAAATTTGCAATACTGTCCAAAGTTCTTCAATACTAACCCTAGGGTTTATGACAAATACCCACAATGCTAATGACATAAGCCTTAACTTTGTTTTCTGTGCTAATAAATATTAGCATGCTATTAGGCTACAATAGCATGATCAACATTATACCTGCTAAACGTCAACATAGTAGTATTATCATTATGTTAGCGGTGGCTTTGACCGTGGCCATTTACAGCCTCAGAAAGCTTTAGCGTGGTTGTACATTAACTTTATTTTTCTTTGTCCATTATGAGTCTGAAACATTATGCAGCTGAGGTGGAGTACTCTATAAACGTGCAACTCCCTAAAGAACCATGACTGTGTTTTATGTTTACACTGATGCTTATTCATGTTAATTTTTCCTCTTTGTTTGCTTGTATCCATTTGTTTTGTTTTTTTAAATGAGATATAATGCTAAAGTAAAATACACAATCTCAAAATTGTAAAATTTACAAAAACGTAAATGGCAAAAAAGAGCTCAGTTTTACTCTCTTCTCTACAATAAGAATGACACAGTTTGAACAACATACAAAACACATTTTTTAATTTTCAGTATGAAGTGCTTCAAACATGCACACTGGGAACTGTTTTGAAAAAGATCTTTAGAAATGTCTAAAATGGAGAAGAAGCAGGTGTCTCTGCAGCTAAGTGGACCTCTTATGATCTATAAAATATTTCACACCATTTAATCTCTCAGAATGTGGAGAAATGCATGAGACAAACAGGAAGTCTCGCCCTTGTGCTGCGTGATTCTCCTCCGCTGGATCAATGCCAGCTGACAAACAGGCCTTTTCCACTACAGCCTATCACTGCTACACCAGTAACTATACATTTGTGACACTCTTGAATTAAAACAGTGATTTTGTTGCATCAGGAGAGTTTCCTCTTGATTGCAGCTAAAGTTTGTGATGATGTGGACTTTGTACAGACAGTGTACCACCTGTATGTTGAGAGGGTGGGCTCCAGGCCATCAGCGTCACACAGTCTGATCAGGCCTGTGCTGCAAGCCTCTCAATAATTCTCCTGTAGTCTTCCACAACAACTTGATAACTCTTCTCCAGCTCCTGGTGTTGTGTCTGAGTGTCCATCTGCCCCATGTGGGACACCAGCTCCTCCGGCCGCAGGCACTTCCTCATCTTCGCCAGCTCCCGCTGATTTTTCTGCACCACAAAAACACACATCAGTGAAGTTGTTAAATGTGGTTTCTTTCCTATGACTTATAAACCTACTTATTAATATATGTAGTGAGAAATATACGCTTTTTTCATCCACATTTAGCCACTACTTTCTAATGAGGAATACAGAACATTATAAAGGGTCTCTAAGGTATAAATAACTGGAGACATGCTGATAAAATGTTCAAATTTATTTATTTAGAATTGATTTATGTGCAAGTCATCATCAATAATGTACTTTGTATCTGCCTAATTTCTGCTTCAGGACTTTTCTGGCCTGCATATGATCACATTTGAGTGTACTGATAATCTGACAGAGCCAATCATCAGTTCCTAATAGAAACTATACCGACCCCCCACAAGATTATTGTACTTGTTTTTGCATGAGTCATCTTACAATATCTGATTATGTTCTTAGTATGTGACACAGCTACAGGGTTTCTGCAAAACTCCTCTAACTAAACTTAAGGCCTTTAAAAACATTTTTAATACCACAGAGAATACAATGTAATGAATTGTCATCTCTGTTGCTACCGTCAGTAGCAGCAGTGTTGACTGAAACACTGTGCAACAGACTGAACGGCCTCCTGCAGCACAACACACTGTCGCACAAGTCTCAACTCTTTATAGATGTGTAACGCCTCCCGACAGCCCGCAACCACATACCACAAAAATGTATAACAAAGGTAACTCTATATGGCCGGCAAAAAAAAAAGAAGAAGAAAAAAGAAAACACCATTGCAAATGAAATGCAAGAGTTCACAATACCTTCTAAGGCCTTTGGGAGACTGTTTAAGACCTCCAGGGATGTAGTGTCTATGCTTGCCCACAAAACCTTTATTAATGTTACACCGTTCAATAATGCTTTACTAAGAACATCTGGGTGAAAAATCAGTGTCAGGTGTTTATATTCCTCTGGCATAAGTGACTGTTTTATTTTATCTTCATCATGCAAAAAAAAAAAAAAAAAAGAAAAGAAACCCATGAGGTTGTATCAATGCCCTTAACATTTTTAACTCTGTTATTAGAAGGTGAATTACTCTCTAAAATGATTCTTAAACTACAATAATTCATCAAGTATTCAGTTTAATGATTTGTCATAATTGTCTCAGAATGTTTAAAGCAAAATCTAAGCTTGATTGTTAATAGTTTCTGAAACCTGTAACTGCTGGGTGGAAAGTTCTTTGTTAAATAGTCCCAAAAAATTGATACCAACACTGTGACAACTCAAAAAGGTGCTATCAGTGAAAAGTGTGGTAGTAACCCTTAAGTAATTGTAATAAACTGATTATAGCCTTGATGTCCTGTAGCTCTGCAAGTGGCTGAGATTCCATTTAAGGAGTCTTTCTGGATGATGAATCAAAAAGCATGTTCTATCAGCCAACCTACTTGTCAAATGTTAGTTGCTTATTACTGATCTGATTAAACACTACACATTAACATCATTAGTTGGAATTGATTTACTGCTTATAAAGTCTGATTTATTAGAAAGTAGCAGCAGCAAAATCAGAGTGATAACATGGATGCACAAAGTATACTTTCACTTAGTGCATGTGTACATCCTTGCTGGGGAACTGGGGGAAAGAGCAGAAATGTATAATCCCCCTTCACGCTCACAGAGCAGCGGCACCAACATAAGCTAAATCTCCCCAGGGAAGGAAAAACGGTCTGCATCTGGCTACCAGATCTTTCCTTGCCACTCTCTCAAGGAATTCCTGCTTTGCTCTGCACCACACAGGTCTTTTCCATGTCAGGTTCTGCCTTTTCTGAGACGTGCGGTTACCCCGCTGACAGCAAATTCTCTAATGGCTGGTATGCAGGCACTCAGTGCATACCTCAAACATAAAATGTCACGAGCAAACAGGATGTAGAGTGTTAAAATACTGCACACAAATCCATCCAGTATTTCCCACTGTCAACTCTGGTGAAAAAGAATCAGAGAAGCACATGATATTCTGGTGACCGTGCTCCAGACTCTCATATTATATTATATTTCTAAAACTCAAAGAAAACTTGCCCAGGAAAACAAGAAAAGGACAAACAAAAAAGATAGCATTGCTCTGTTTTCCTGATGAAGTTTTAAAAAGTGCTGCAATAGTATATCTACAGAACAGTGAATAGTAGCAGCTTTTGCACAAAGTGCTTCAAACACACTTTCAGAAAAATGACTCTTCTCCCAAAGAATTGCTAATCCTGAATAATGACATGTGCCTGAATAGAAAAAAAAAGATCCAGCCGCAGCAAAAACTACAGACGCCCGGTGTGCTCTATTGTAGCTGTAACAATATAGCACTAGTAATCTATCAATTTTCCTACAACTGAAGATCAATTTCTCTGCTGTTTCTACTGCTAGAAAGGTAACATAATAAACAGTGACAATACGGAGCTGTAAGCCAATCAAGTGTATGCTGTACATGGGGCATTTTCTTTCCCACACTAAATGTTATGCTAGCAAACGGAGGAAGACTGCACACTGAAGTGCTTGACAGCAGCAACACTAACAAGATGACATTTAGATTTATATGAATGCACAAGAAAATCTCTTACTCAGAATATCCCTCTGTATGTGCCCTGTGAGCCTCTCCACACTGACATGTCAAGTTCACTAATCTGCATCTGTGGTTATTAAAGCCTCACCCTGTAGGGTCCAAATAGTCTCCTCTTCACCTCCAAGCGGTACTCTCGTGCTTTTTCTTCATCACTCATGTCTGTTGCTCTCAGACGCAGGATTTCATACACTCGCCTGGCATGTTTCTGTAGGAGGGAAGCAGACCCAGTGTTTACTGTGATTTATTTTTATGCAAGTCGGTGCACCTAACACTTCCCAGCACAATGGCTACAGGAAGTCATAAGCTATTCAGTGCATATGATAAATCAGGTCACTGGTTTATCTGTTCCAAGAACAGCACCGTTTTCAGAAAAACCTTTGTTTGTTTAAATCACAGATTCCACGCTGTGATAACCAGTTAAATGAGCCAGCACAGAATCAAACAGAATTTAAAGCAAAACAGTAAAATGAGCTGCTAAACATGGGAATACTGAGAGTTGTTTGCTCAAGACTGTGCAGAACAGGGATTTCACAAGTATATATGAGGAGATATCACAATAAAGCATAAGTTCATTTAGAAACTGTGACTTTAAAGAGCCCATGGCGTGCTCATTTCCAGCCATTAAATATTTAACCTTGGGTACCTCTAGATTAGCTTTGCACCCATCATAGCTCCAAAAAGTCTGTAATTATTTCAGAAGGATAAAACCTGATATCACAAGGAGAGCCTCCTCCTGAACACCAGAGGGTATTCCATGAATGTGCACAACTCCTGTTGCCAGTCAGAAAGCTACAACGCATAAAATAAACAAACAAACAAAAAAAACACCAACAAATAAGTTACATTATCAACAATGACAATACCTCAAATCCTAACCGGACATGTTCAAGCAGAATATGAAAGTAGACAGCACGACAAAATACAACAACATTAATTCATTTGAATTTCTCCTTCATAGATAGGTAAACAACGGAATGTGTACCGATGAAACAAAGCAGATAATTGAGAAACCCCATATTTTAACTAGCATAATGCAGACATAACTTCTTTTACAACAATTCTCTCTACAGAAACAACACATTGGCACACAACATGGGTGGGTTTTTTAACTTATTGTTGCATCCCACTGACTAGTGGGAACGTCAAGGTTGGTAAATCCAACCAGTGATTGCTGTGTCTTCCCCCACAAATCCTTCACATTACAGACAAACGCATACATTCCCAACAGGTAGCTTGGCACCAACAATAACACCATGGATCACTGGAATCCTCTCGCCAATCCGCAACACATCACATGCAGGAGACACTCTGGCCTCAACAAGTCAAGTCAAACAGGTACTGTGCTCCAGGGGAATCCAGCGTTGATGAACTGATCATTCACCGCCCCAGGGTGCTTCACTGGCCGGCTGCCTGTAAGTTTCCAATCACTCCATTCACACCACATTATACCCAGTCAGGTAAAATAGTGGTGCCAGGAAAGCTGCATGAATGCGCACTGCCTGGAGTATATGACCTTTCAAGGAAATCCATAAACTATTGTTTAAAAAAAAAATTAAATAAAATTCTGGCCAGAGAGAGCTTGCTGACAGCAAATTCTCTAATGGCTGGTATGCAGGCACTCAGTGCATACCTCAAACATAAAATGTCACGAGCAAACAGGATGTAGAGTGTTAAAATACTGCACACAAATCCATCCAGTATTTCCCACTGTCAACTCTGGTGAAAAAGAATCAGAGAAGCACATGATATTCTGGTGACCGTGCTCCAGACTCTCATATTATATTATATTTCTAAAACTCAAAGAAAACTTGCCCAGGAAAACAAGAAAAGGACAAACAAAAAAGATAGCATTGCTCTGTTTTCCTGATGAAGTTTTAAAAAGTGCTGCAATAGTATATCTACAGAACAGTGAATAGTAGCAGCTTTTGCACAAAGTGCTTCAAACACACTTTCAGAAAAATGACTCTTCTCCCAAAGAATTGCTAATCCTGAATAATGACATGTGCCTGAATAGAAAAAAAAAGATCCAGCCGCAGCAAAAACTACAGACGCCCGGTGTGCTCTATTGTAGCTGTAACAATATAGCACTAGTAATCTATCAATTTTCCTACAACTGAAGATCAATTTCTCTGCTGTTTCTACTGCTAGAAAGGTAACATAATAAACAGTGACAATACGGAGCTGTAAGCCAATCAAGTGTATGCTGTACATGGGGCATTTTCTTTCCCACACTAAATGTTATGCTAGCAAACGGAGGAAGACTGCACACTGAAGTGCTTGACAGCAGCAACACTAACAAGATGACATTTAGATTTATATGAATGCACAAGAAAATCTCTTACTCAGAATATCCCTCTGTATGTGCCCTGTGAGCCTCTCCACACTGACATGTCAAGTTCACTAATCTGCATCTGTGGTTATTAAAGCCTCACCCTGTAGGGTCCAAATAGTCTCCTCTTCACCTCCAAGCGGTACTCTCGTGCTTTTTCTTCATCACTCATGTCTGTTGCTCTCAGACGCAGGATTTCATACACTCGCCTGGCATGTTTCTGTAGGAGGGAAGCAGACCCAGTGTTTACTGTGATTTATTTTTATGCAAGTCGGTGCACCTAACACTTCCCAGCACAATGGCTACAGGAAGTCATAAGCTATTCAGTGCATATGATAAATCAGGTCACTGGTTTATCTGTTCCAAGAACAGCACCGTTTTCAGAAAAACCTTTGTTTGTTTAAATCACAGATTCCACGCTGTGATAACCAGTTAAATGAGCCAGCACAGAATCAAACAGAATTTAAAGCAAAACAGTAAAATGAGCTGCTAAACATGGGAATACTGAGAGTTGTTTGCTCAAGACTGTGCAGAACAGGGATTTCACAAGTATATATGAGGAGATATCACAATAAAGCATAAGTTCATTTAGAAACTGCGACTTTAAAGAGCCCATGGCGTGCTCATTTCCAGCCATTAAATATTTAACCTTGGGTACCTCTAGATTAGCTTTGCACCCATCATAGCTCCAAAAAGTCTGTAATTATTTCAGAAGGATAAAACCTGATATCACAAGGAGAGCCTCCTCCTGAACACCAGAGGGTATTCCATGAATGTGCACAACTCCTGTTGCCAGTCAGAAAGCTACAACGCATAAAATAAACAAACAAACAAAAAAAACACCAACAAATAAGTTACATTATCAACAATGACAATACCTCAAATCCTAACCGGACATGTTCAAGCAGAATATGAAAGTAGACAGCACGACAAAATACAACAGCATTAATTCATTTGAATTTCTCCTTCATAGATAGGTAAACAACGGAATGTGTACCGATGAAACAAAGCAGATAATTGAGAAACCCCATATTTTAACTAGCATAATGCAGACATAACTTCTTTTACAACAATTCTCTCTACAGAAACAACACATTGGCACAAAACATGGGTGGGTTTTTTAACTTATTGTTGCATCCCACTGACTAGTGGGAACGTCAAGGTTGGTAAATCCAACCAGTGATTGCTGTGTCTTCCCCCACAAATCCTTCACATTACAGACAAACGCATACATTCCCAACAGGTAGCTTGGCACCAACAATAACACCATGGATCACTGGAATCCTCTCGCCAATCCGCAACACATCACATGCAGGAGACACTCTGGCCTCAACAAGTCAAGTCAAACAGGTACTGTGCTCCAGGGGAATCCAGCGTTGATGAACTGATCATTCACCGCCCCAGGGTGCTTCACTGGCCGGCTGCCTGTAAGTTTCCAATCACTCCATTCACACCACATTATACCCAGTCAGGTAAAATAGTGGTGCCAGGAAAGCTGCATGAATGCGCACTGCCTGGAGTATATGACCTTTCAAGGAAATCCATAAACTATTGTTTAAAAAAAAAATTGCTGACAGCAAATTCTCTAATGGCTGGTATGCAGGCACTCAGTGCATACCTCAAACATAAAATGTCACGAGCAAACAGGATGTAGAGTGTTAAAATACTGCACACAAATCCATCCAGTATTTCCCACTGTCAACTCTGGTGAAAAAGAATCAGAGAAGCACATGATATTCTGGTGACCGTGCTCCAGACTCTCATATTATATTATATTTCTAAAACTCAAAGAAAACTTGCCCAGGAAAACAAGAAAAGGACAAACAAAAAAGATAGCATTGCTCTGTTTTCCTGATGAAGTTTTAAAAAGTGCTGCAATAGTATATCTACAGAACAGTGAATAGTAGCAGCTTTTGCACAAAGTGCTTCAAACACACTTTCAGAAAAATGACTCTTCTCCCAAAGAATTGCTAATCCTGAATAATGACATGTGCCTGAATAGAAAAAAAAAGATCCAGCCGCAGCAAAAACTACAGACGCCCGGTGTGCTCTATTGTAGCTGTAACAATATAGCACTAGTAATCTATCAATTTTCCTACAACTGAAGATCAATTTCTCTGCTGTTTCTACTGCTAGAAAGGTAACATAATAAACAGTGACAATACGGAGCTGTAAGCCAATCAAGTGTATGCTGTACATGGGGCATTTTCTTTCCCACACTAAATGTTATGCTAGCAAACGGAGGAAGACTGCACACTGAAGTGCTTGACAGCAGCAACACTAACAAGATGACATTTAGATTTATATGAATGCACAAGAAAATCTCTTACTCAGAATATCCCTCTGTATGTGCCCTGTGAGCCTCTCCACACTGACATGTCAAGTTCACTAATCTGCATCTGTGGTTATTAAAGCCTCACCCTGTAGGGTCCAAATAGTCTCCTCTTCACCTCCAAGCGGTACTCTCGTGCTTTTTCTTCATCACTCATGTCTGTTGCTCTCAGACGCAGGATTTCATACACTCGCCTGGCATGTTTCTGTAGGAGGGAAGCAGACCCAGTGTTTACTGTGATTTATTTTTATGCAAGTCGGTGCACCTAACACTTCCCAGCACAATGGCTACAGGAAGTCATAAGCTATTCAGTGCATATGATAAATCAGGTCACTGGTTTATCTGTTCCAAGAACAGCACCGTTTTCAGAAAAACCTTTGTTTGTTTAAATCACAGATTCCACGCTGTGATAACCAGTTAAATGAGCCAGCACAGAATCAAACAGAATTTAAAGCAAAACAGTAAAATGAGCTGCTAAACATGGGAATACTGAGAGTTGTTTGCTCAAGACTGTGCAGAACAGGGATTTCACAAGTATATATGAGGAGATATCACAATAAAGCATAAGTTCATTTAGAAACTGCGACTTTAAAGAGCCCATGGCGTGCTCATTTCCAGCCATTAAATATTTAACCTTGGGTACCTCTAGATTAGCTTTGCACCCATCATAGCTCCAAAAAGTCTGTAATTATTTCAGAAGGATAAAACCTGATATCACAAGGAGAGCCTCCTCCTGAACACCAGAGGGTATTCCATGAATGTGCACAACTCCTGTTGCCAGTCAGAAAGCTACAACGCATAAAATAAACAAACAAACAAAAAAAACACCAACAAATAAGTTACATTATCAACAATGACAATACCTCAAATCCTAACCGGACATGTTCAAGCAGAATATGAAAGTAGACAGCACGACAAAATACAACAGCATTAATTCATTTGAATTTCTCCTTCATAGATAGGTAAACAACGGAATGTGTACCGATGAAACAAAGCAGATAATTGAGAAACCCCATATTTTAACTAGCATAATGCAGACATAACTTCTTTTACAACAATTCTCTCTACAGAAACAACACATTGGCACACAACATGGGTGGGTTTTTTAACTTATTGTTGCATCCCACTGACTAGTGGGAACGTCAAGGTTGGTAAATCCAACCAGTGATTGCTGTGTCTTCCCCCACAAATCCTTCACATTACAGACAAACGCATACATTCCCAACAGGTAGCTTGGCACCAACAATAACACCATGGATCACTGGAATCCTCTCGCCAATCCGCAACACATCACATGCAGGAGACACTCTGGCCTCAACAAGTCAAGTCAAACAGGTACTGTGCTCCAGGGGAATCCAGCGTTGATGAACTGATCATTCACCGCCCCAGGGTGCTTCACTGGCCGGCTGCCTGTAAGTTTCCAATCACTCCATTCACACCACATTATACCCAGTCAGGTAAAATAGTGGTGCCAGGAAAGCTGCATGAATGCGCACTGCCTGGAGTATATGACCTTTCAAGGAAATCCATAAACTATTGTTTAAAAAAAAAATTAAATAAAATTCTGGCCAGAGAGAGCTTAAAAGACTTCTATAAACCAACTTGCTTCTGCATAGAAGTACAACAACATAGGTACACCTCATTTTTTTTAACTTTCAGTCATGTTTAAGATGATAATTCATCATTGTAAGATTGTAGATGAGTCAGAGAAAACAGAAAAGCATGCCATGGGCTCTTTAAATGTCAGACTGGTTGATCTGACTCTGAAATAAAGAGGTCCTGAATTTAGTTTCTGCAAACAATGCAAACAGTTAGCTTTAAGCTCCACCCTACTGTAAAGATAAAAGCAAAGGTCTTAAACCACTTTTGGACCAAAATGTTCTTAGGTCTCAGGACTACCCCACTGGGGAGCTCTCCTAAGAACTACATATTCTCATTTTATAATGAGCCACTAACCCTCTGCAGAGGCTTCTGTTGGCGGACTGCCGCCAAAGCCACTGGTGATGGCTCCTGTTCGCTATTGTCAACACATCTAACATGGTGTTTAAAATTTAGCAGTTAGCGGTGCTGCACTCTACGTACATGTACGTTACTCATGGTTGTGCTTTGAGGGTACCTACCCTGAAGTAGGAGCTAAAAAAGTTCTTAGAACACCGTTTTGAGGAACTATTATCAGTTCCTGCAATGTGGACACACAAAAAGGGGGGTAGGCTACTTGTTCACAGTTCTAAGAAGTATGAAAAAGTTTCTCTGGTCCGAATGTGCCTTTAAAGTTGGAACTAGTTAGTCAATGGACCAGAGATTTGATAATTAATTATCAAGCTAAAATGTCAAACACTTGTGACCATCTTCTTAAATGCGAGGATTAACTATGCAAACAAAACTGAATAAGTGATAAAAATGATCATTAGTTGAAACCTCATACAGCACCTTGTTGATTTTTAACTTGTCTTGTGCCTCACTGGCCATGTCAGCTGAGAAGCCATGGTGCAACTTTTCTGCAGCAAAGGATGGCAGGCCTTGACAAAGTTTGACCAGCACATAGTCTCTGAGCTTCACGTAGTTCTCAGAAGGGTCTTCAGCTGGAAACAAACACAACACGAGTAACAGTGTTGATCTCAAATTATTTACAACAAATCGAACACAGGCAGCGTAGCTCAGTACATGTTACCGTTAATACTGTGGTCAGTCTGCACAGTGTGTGTGTGTGTGTGTGTGTGTGTGTGAGGGAGTGGGAGAAGCATTCTGTGGCTATATATTAAGGCCACACAAACTATTAACAGGAACCTTTGGCCTATTCAACTGCTAAAGTTTTCTCTTTTCTTCTTGCCAGGATGCCTCTTTAGTATTCATGCTCTGTCTCCTATTTCAGTCCAACCACTTTCAATAGAGCCTCAGCACATTTTGGTACCTATGCCACCCTTCCAAATTAACTCACCCCCTGGATACAACTGCAGAGAAAAATAATTTAAACTGTTGGTGGGTGAAACAAGGATCTTAGATTGAATGTTTATCTCTACCTTCTTCAACACAGTCAGTGGCATTTTTGAATAAAATCAGACGCTCACCTGTGATGTCTTGCACTTTGGGCAAGCTACAATAAAATCTGTGCACCGCCTCCAGAAGCTGAGCTCCATGGCCCTCCCCTTGGAAAGGAGGCAGGATCAGCATTTGGCTGTTAAGTTAAAGGGCAGACACAAACATAAAGCTAGTGATAGAACAGGTTCGTTCAAAACTACTCACAAGACAAATTTATGTGGCATCTGAGTAGTTATTCTGAGCAGCAAGAGAAATCCTTTGATTGAAAGCAGGAAATAATAGATTGTTATACTGACCCATCAATGCAACAAATCAAATCACAGCAAAAGATTATCTATAAAGTTGTTTTCAGATACAAATCACCCTGGTTTAGTAATGAAACAAAATCCGGCTGAATGGTTGGCTATATAAGCCAGTAATTTGGGCTCTTTGGGAAGAGGATAAAGAAATGTATAATTTTCCACTCCTTTTTCATACAAAAGAATGGGAAGGCACGTGCTGCCACAGCAATTACCTTACACGTGGTCGGGTTTTGTCTGGATACACGTAGTAATTATAAACTGTCATGTAGCCAACAGTTGCGTAGAGAGTCTCCCCATCTTTATTGTACTTTTCAAATCTGCAGATAAAACACAAAGGCAAACAGGTCAATTACAGGCACACTCCCATGCAGTGTCCATTTTAGCCTCTCTGTTCTCGTGCCCACTGTTCACCCCCCGACGTCAGCATGTTAGAGCAGCCAGGCCCCGATTGGTACACCTGCTACAACCTGAATACATTATGTACTTAATTGGAGTACTGCAACTTAGAGGACGAGAAGGGGCTGGAGGAGGGACTGAGCTCCTCAAAATCACTTCAGTCCATTTTCCCTATTGTCCGTATTAATAGGTGCCAGGGTAAAGAAAACACTGGCAGAGGCTCTTTTTACTGTTAAGACATTGTTCAGTGTTTCAAAAGACAACAGTATTCAATTCAGCTCTTGCCCCCGAAAAATCTGAAAAGGGCTTCTGGCACAAAGGAAGCTCTTGCCTGATCAACAATTCTCCTATGGGAGAAATATAATCAAACTGGCCTGGTAATTGGTCACAAGCGCCTCAAAGGGGGGCTTTGTTTTTCAATGACACAATAAAGGCTTTAGTGTATGGGAGGGTGCAAAAGGGGTGGTGGTGGGGGTTTGATGTCAATTAAGGAGGGTACTCACACAAGAAAGAAGTCCCAGCGATCGTCATCTGTGTCGATGAAACTGGCAGTCTCTATGAACCACATGAGGAAGGTCTGCAGGCGCTCGTGGTACTCTTGGAATCCCGGGCAGGTGATATCAGCCTGGGGTGAATACGGCAGAAACAAATGTGATATGAGAGTTACATCTTCTTCCAGGCAGCCGATCACCATCAGCGAAAACAGTTTTTAAAAATGACATTAAAATCTAAAGGTTCGCTTTGGTACCTTGTAAATCTGGTACGTGAGCTCTCCTGCTTCCTCGCTGGGGACAGTGTACGCGTGAAGCAGGGTGCCGAAGGGCTTGAAATTGGCCTCCTTCTCCAGCAGTGACACAAAGTCATCAGTGTTGCAGGTGAACCCGGCAGGAATGATTTCCCGGATCTTCCCTTCTACATCATCAGCCTAGAAAACACAGTGTGAATGAAACTGTAGTGCAGCCAACAGATCAGGAAGGACAATCTTGTGTTTGTAAGACATCAAAAGTGACCCGCGACATATTTTCAAACTAAAGTTTTAAATACCGTATAAATCCAGTATACTTCCTGTTTCATATACACAAAAATAATTGTTCTTAAATTAAGACTTCAAGAAAATGCTAAATAACCTGTATATTAAATCTGAAAGCACACGTGCTTTGTTCCATTGAAAAGAAAACCATTAAGTAATTAAAACTGTCAGCTGAGCATAGACCAGAGCAGCACCCCCACCCGTCAACCCCCCTGTAGAAAGACTACTTAAATCAGTACATTTACTACTTATGTTAAACCATGAATATGTGATGAAGTTGCCACAATAAAACGCATTTCTGCCTCACACTGAGAAATAAAATCCTATGAATTGATCTCAACTTAACAAACCTTTGGTCATCCATAATAGAGGCTTCTCCTCTAATCCTGCCAAGTGAACCCAATCAAACGAATTTGCCCCTGCATTTTCAAAGAGCCTTGGGGACAAAGGGACCCTACCCTTGGACTTTTTACTCAGTGCAATGTGTAGTTAGTTCAGCTGTAATGTTTGCATTGTATCCATTTCCACAAGGATTGACATGAGAACACTTGGCTAAGCAGCCCTTTCACACCATTTACATATGTGATGGGCATTATTTCGGCACAGAGACTCTTGCTGCTCCACATTGAAAACTGGGAAATGAAGAAGGCCTGAACAAAATGCACTACAAAAGGCTAATACAACATACTGCTAATTTCCCCCCTTTCAGACATCAGCTAATATCTAACTGGAAGTAATGCACCTGCAGCTGAATGCCTCTTAACCATTGTAATTGTTCAGCCACATTTCTAAGGAACAAGGAGCATACTTAAAAGGCCATGGACAAACACGTCCCTTTGTCCCAGGCACTCTCCTAGATACTAGACACTAAATTGCACAGCCGTCCAGAATGGATGCCTTAGTTTGGCATGAATATAACTCAACAATGTACCTTTAGAGCATTTTGTTAATGTCTTTGATTTCTAACAATAAGCACAAAGGGAGTACAAACTATCTAATTTGTTGTGTTGGTATTATTTCATGTCTTTCATCTACACCAAAGACCATACTACATTCAAGACACCCTCATTTTTGTGTTTATCATTAGTGTAAAGTTCTAAAATTTTAAAGTTACAGCCGCAAATCCATGTGGATTGTGAATTAGTAGACATAACTGCACAAGCATTCAGAGTTTCCTCCAGTTTCCAGCTCTTGCGCTAATATCACAGTTTTCTGTGGGAAGTCCAGCAGCATGGCATTTCTGGCTGATTTAAAGGGGAGAAGGTGATTTTTGATGAGTCCTGTATCAACGTGGCAGCTGCATAAACTCCATCTCTGCCTCCTCTCGTCTCTCGCTCTCTTCTCGCACCAGCTGCAGGGAACCCCGACCGTCCACATGCACTCAAACACTCTTCAGATGCAGCCTGAACTCTGCTGCTCCCCTCGCTCTCTGCCTCTACACCAGCTGCACTCAAACCCTTAACAAGGCAAACACTCAGGGGTCAACGCTGAACACCAAGTAGTGGCACACACAGACACCGAGCCACCCAGCACATTTCAGTTTGAACATCAGCTTCAAACTATGTTCCCTAAAAGTGTAATTGCTCTATTTATGTTTAAAAACAGTGACTTGGTTGCCATAGTATTTTTCTGACTTGCCAGAGATGTGGTACTCATCGCCCCATTCGGAATATCGGAAGAACCCATCACTGTTATTTATAATTTGAGTGCATCTGCAGAAACACCAAATCCTGTTGAGTTAATAGGCTGCACCACCGCACCAATTACGTCAAGCTGAAGGCCACACTGACCAGCAAAGGGCCCCCTGTTATGTCCACAGAGTAATTCTTGTACATTTGCTGCATTGAAAGCTTCAGGACATGTTCAAAGGTGCCAGTGACCTTTTGCAAACTCCTGTTTTGTCCAAATACTCACTACTGATGTGTAAACTCCTGTCTAGAGAATAACTGATCGATCAGCGAAGATCGGAAATGGCTGGTTCTCAGAGTGATTGGCCTTGATTGGTGACCGGCCAATCACTCTGAGATATCCGATTCTGTGCCTGTCTGATTTAGAGGCACGACAGTCTGTGTCATGCACACAGTGGCACAGACCAAAAGAGTAGCATGTGCAGTGCATAGCATTTTGCATACACCTCGAGTGAGACTCGCGCTTGTGTGTACCGGGCGCATGTTCACTCACGTATTGGAAGTGGGTGGTATACAAAAACAGACAGAGAAGCCCACAGAAATACCTTGGAGAAGGGAACCCTACGCCCAGATCTCTGAGAAACAGTGTATCCAACCTGTGCTGGAACACAGAAAACAAACTACACACAATTCAAAAAGAACTGCGCGCTCCGTAGGACTGATGTAACAGACATTCTTCTGTCTCTATTATTTGTTGCACCTGTTTATATTTGGAGGACAAATGTGGCACTTAACTTTTAGTTAGAGGTTTCTAAAAAAAAGTGAGGGAAATTTTAAATTTTAATAAAATGTTTTATTTTTATTGCTATTTAATTTTTTTTTAAAGAAACTGCAGTTCTTGGAAAGAAAGAAAATCAGAATCGGCCGAGAAAGTTGCAATCGGTGCACCTCTAACAATCACCACAATAACTGTAAACCTCAATTTAAACAACTGCATCAAAACTTATTAAAGATCAGTTTGTAGATATTCAACCGCAAAGATTGTGATTGTCAATGCTCTGAACAACAAGCCACTCCTGGAAATATATATACACAAGATATCCAACCATGCCACATTACTCCTCCTGCTGAGTCAATCACACAAACCTGCAAAAATCAATGTCTCATGTTAGACCCCACACACAAAACCATTTCAAACCCTTCTTTTTTGGCAGGGAGAAGGAGGATTAGTGTCCTGGCATGGGGGATCACGCTGGGTTGAGATTTAGATAAACAAAACAGGAGATTTCTTACACAGGAATAATAACAACACCCTGAGAGGCTCTGAGTTGCTTCAGTAAGTAAAGAAACATTAAGGCACAGGAAACTGCCGACAAAGGAGTGTATTAGGACTGTCTGCCGTCTAGTTGAACCATTAGTCAAGACACCCATCAGCCAACTGAGACTCTTTTAGTCAAACCTTTGTATTTATTCCACATTATTTCATTTATTTATTTATTGTCAGCCAGTGAGCATTACAACAGAAGGTAGCCACAGCCCGCACTATTTTGTTGTCATTTTCTCCTCATTTTGGTGTGCCAAGAAGCAATTTGCTCAATATGTCCCCCTGTGGCCATGCTGCTGCTGCTGGTGGAGGTATTTGGGGGGTGGGGTCAAACATTGTGGTTGCATATGTGCTGGTTTGTTTTCCCATCTCCGTTAAAGTACAACACACAGCCATTTACTAACTGCTTCTGTGACATGCATCCATCTGAAAGGGAATAGGAAACTAAAAAAAAAATGCCCTGGGAAAACATTTCAGTGAGGGATTATAAATAAGAGGAACCATAAACAGATATTCTTTTTTTTTTTTTTGCAGTACAGGTTGGCACACATCAAATGCAACAACATGCACTATGGTTAAATGATGAGAGAAACTTGGTAAACTAGGCTATAACCATGTCTCAGCAAGAAAAAATACCTATAAGAGCAGTGTTTTAACAGAAATACAAGTGTGCTGCCTGTCTCAGTATTCCAATAAATCCACATGGCAGCCAGACATTAGATATCATCAATTTAAATAGGTCACAATTTAAATCTTACATCATATGCAGCAGTTTTAGCTGGGTGTATTTATTAAACTGGCAACTGAGAGAACATCTTCTCCCAACTGTTTGTGCATGTCTAAGGCATATTTTGTTTATGCTGGTAAACCTTGTTGATGACAAGCTTACAAACAAAAATATTTATCTAAACAACACTAGAAAATAGCTAACATGAGGAAAAAAAAAACAGTGATCCTACTACAGCACTAACAGTCACACAGAAAAGTAGTAGAACTTCTACATTAAAAGAATAAAGCAATGTATGCCCTACCTCCACACAATCAAACGTCTCTGTGACTTTAGAGGAATATTTCACTTTGAAGAGGGTGCTCAAGTTTCCAGCAGTGTAGAACAGCTGTATCTGAAGACCTTTGTAGCCAAAAGCGACTTCACTGTTGACAAAGTGTTTGAATTTATTAAAAATCTTTGTAAAGTTACGCATTAAAAATAGGACAGGAAAAGAATAAATGAACTGTTTTCTGTAATGTGATATTAGGGGAACAATAACAAGCATCTGATTATTCTTATTTAATGAAATGTATTATATACACACAACAGAGTGAATGATAAATGTTTACTGTAGCTCTGACCACTTATTTCACTGTGCTGCATTGTTTCTTTCCCTCTCACATCACTGGCAGTTTACAGCATAATAGATTTCATCATTATGCAACTGTGTGATTGAGCTTTACTAGTAATTATGCTTGCTGAAATAATTAATACCCAATTACCGAGTTCCCCTTGAGCTGACTGCAGCAAGTGCAAAAATAACCAATCCTAGTTTCAGCTAATTTGGAAATGCAATTTAGAGCATAGCATAAGCCTACACACAGACACAGGTGTCACTACCAATAATGTAGTCTCGCTCAGAGTCAATAGCAATGTCTTTCTGTGCATCACATCAGGGTAAGATGCAAGACGGGCTACTGTTCATGTTCACCAAGTCTGAGACTACAAACTTCACTTCATGCCATCAGGAAGGAAATTATAACATACTAGGACTGTAACGATAACAAAAACTCTTAGTGCAATATTGCCACAATAAAAAGAAAGTCCACAGTATTTAATATTTAAAAAATTAAGAAAAAATATGAAACAATGCCTCTTACTAAATAATAAAATCTGCATTTTTTTGTATAATATATATAAAAGATAATGCATCAGTCTGTAGCAGTCACTTAGTTCACTTTATAAGAAATCAAATAAAACAACATATTACTGCAGCAGCTGGATCTTGTAAGCAAAATGAGTTGTACTCGCAGTAGAACATCAGTGCTTCAGTACCCTAAAGGCAGGTTTAACTTTCTATCTGGTGACCGTATTGACGGTTGTCCGGGTTCTGTGTCACTGGACCAGTTGAAGCGCTAGCTACCGTCACAGTCCCACAACAGTAGCAAGAAATGTTTCTACCGCAACATCTTAAAACTCTCTGCAATAAAGGCCTCAGAATAAGATATATGATAATACAACATATGAATATAGCAGGAGATATGTGAAACATATGCGTGAACAGACACTCTGTAGTGTTAACAAGCCCCATGATGGCAATTTTCATCAGATAAATTAATAGAAAATGCATTGTTATCAGCAAGTTGCAGGGAAAAGAAGGTGCTAAAAGGTCATAAACTGATGCGGAGCTAAAATAAATCAAATCCCTTGCTTCACCTTCTGCGACGGATGGAGACAGTATTGCTCTGGCACAGTACAAGGCAACCGTGTCTAGTGTGAGTACGACCCAACCCTAACCCTCACCAATTACTCCAACATACAGTATATCTCATTTCTTTAAACAGAAATGTAAATATGCCACCCTACAGTCACTATTTATTTTCAGTCAAACTTTGTTAAAAGTATTACAAGAGTGTAGAACAATAAGCCCTGTATCATGTATCACACTGAATTGTAAACCGACATTACACCCCTTTCCCAGACACATTTTAGTTTTAAATGTCAACAGGGCCAAAGGATTCTTTTCAGCCAGATGTGAGCACACTAAAAAAAAACTACCATCACAGTGGCCTTGGGCAAAGCACATTAGAGACCAGTAATTACACTGTACCCAGCAGCTCACAGGTGTGAAAATAATATCTGTATGAATGTGAAGTGAAGCAATGCTAATGAAGAAGTATGCTAAGTGACTGAATTTCTTTTTGCACATGGTTTTCTGATTATTTCTGTATCATAACAAGAAAGAAATAGAGTAAAAGTGACAAAAAATACTTACTCGTCTCCAAAGATTTGGTGGCTGTACTCAGGGTGAAACGTAGTGCCATCATCATCAACCTCCTCTGGAAAGCGAACTGAGAGGAAAGGAAACAGTGTTCAATTAACTGACAAGAAATTTCAAGAACACAACACAAAATGCTGTCATTGTACATACACCAACATTACCATACTCATTTACAAGACATATAAAATAAAACAAAAAAAATAAAAAACATACCAAGCTTCAAGCATGTAGCTTCATTGGTGTCACACTTATATTCAGCCAGTTTTTTCTCCATGGTATTTACTCCTGCGGAAACATTCAAACCATAAGCACAACTGAAACTGCAGTGTTTTTCACAATTTGAGCTCTTTCTAAAGACTCATTTTCCAACTCTACTGTCATCAGAAACCGAATAAATCATAAGCAAGTAGTCCATTCTGACCAAAAATAGGTTTAAACCTCCTGAGCCCCAGCCTGTAGTTGCATTAGTCTTTTCCATGGAGTAACAGGGAAGCTCGACTCTGCTGATAACCCCTGAGACAACCTGATCCTATTAGGGATATCAGAATACCAGAATTTTGGTAGTTGGTGCCAATACCACTGAAATTCCACGATACTCCTAATTACATTAATTCAGTTTTCATATTCTGTTTATTCTGTGTTTATTCTACTTTTATTCCATTTCAGTTTCTTAAATGGTATGGGCATTCAATATTAGGTGAGAGAGAAATGGTATTTTGATTTTTCTGTATGTCCTGCACATATAGTGAATTGACAATAAAAAAATCTTTGATCTCGATACTCAATATCAATTTCAATACCACAGCAAAAATCTAAAATAATGAAACTAATGTATTTCAACATGATTTTTTTTTTTTATTTCATTCCACCAACAAGAATGGGATGGAGCCTTCGAGTAATAACAACAGGCATTGCTGTTGTTTAAAACATGCCAATACTGTGCAAAAATTTTCTAATACTAAAAAATTAACTTTTAAACTTAACATTTCTACTGCAGTACCCAGCTGCCTGAAATATGAAAAAAGAATGCACATAATATATAACCAAGGTGGGATAAATGAGAGAGAAAGAATATTAATATTACAAAAAGCAATGATCTTCAAGTATTTAAAACAATGCTGTGTTATAAACCTCACTCAGCCTGTTATTGCAAAGCATTTCAACTCAGGTAACTCAGCTCTAGGAAACCCACACAGCACATACAGCATGCTAACACACCGCTAAATGCTGACAGGCTGAACGATGACTAACGTTATCACGAGCAGCGCTAGCTCACGTTGTTTACTATTGCGTCATTAGCCTAAACAAGCTAACATTAGCCTTTGTGAACGTTGTGTATGAAGCACTGATGCAACGGATACAGCTGTCGCAAAAATACAGACAATGGCGGTAGAATTTCAAGATATGAACAATTTGTCAACAAACTAAAATTATATAAAAAGTTAAATTCTCTCACATTTAATTCTTTTTACAGATCTGGATGTCTGTCTTTGAGATGCTTAGCTAAATTTAAGGTGCTTCCCCCTTTCTTTGCAAAAGCTTTGAGACACTGTTTGCATATCCCGGCTTTTGTCGTCTACAACTTGTCCCTCATCATTCGACTCCCCCATACACGACTTTTGCATGGAGTGTTTTCTGTTTCCACAAGTCGCAGCGGACCTGTTGCTACACCTGGGCTTGCCAACCGGATCTCACGTGTTGTTTTGGTGGTGGTTGCTGCTGCTGCTGCTGCCTTACCTTCTCTTTGCGTTTAACGTCAGTCTACACGGTTATTATGCTGCTCTCGCCAGTGCCGGACAAATCACATTCTCCACTACCTATGACAGCTTTCACAGTGGTTACGGTACCTTCTGTACCATAGAACACAAGTAAAGTCACGTTCTCACATTTCTGGTATCGACCTGGTACCGCAGTAGCGGTTCTCGTGACAACCCTAGATCATATAAATGAGGTGTTCTGCTAAGTTAGATGCTCAGTGAAGACGAGCAATGATTGGGCTCACTTAAAACTTAGTAACTTGTGGCATTCTCTACAGTGCAAATATCTGCCCAAACTGCCAACCAAATGTGCTCAAAATGTAGGATAACGTTACTAACAGTCAGGCATTTATGTCAAGTGGGTTACCATTAGTTACTGGCACAACTGGCTAACGTTGTTACGTGGCATAACATCCAAACAAACTTAAAACTAACAGTGAGCCCCTATCCATAACGTTATACACAAAGCACACATTCGACCCGAAATATAAGCGTTACATAAATACACAACATGTGATAACAGCCTGATAGCATTCTAGTAACGCTAGCAGGCAGGCCCAATGGTCTCATAATCTATCCATGGTAGGCACCCACTGTTGCTTTTGCAATGTAACGTTAGCTACCTTAGCTCGCTATGTTTTGAACATAGCACAAGCCAATTCAATACCAACGGGCTTATTGAGGGAGTAACTTCAATTTTTCGATAGATATGCATTAGGCATTAACTTGTTATACATTACACAAACAGAAGAACTATAGCACAAGAACATCAAACCACTTACCCGCCATTTTTGCACAGTGTTGTGGTTGTGCAGTACAATGTCGTCCCAAAAACCCCGCGGAATCAGGACAACTTCCGGGTCTTACGTTTCCGTAAAAACAGGAAGTAGTTTTTTTAACTTTATGATCAACATTTATTATCAACTATTTCTAGCGAGGAGCATTGAAAATGCACTCTTCAAAGAAAAAATAACATATAACAGCAAGGCAAAAAAGAAAAATCATAACTTAATTATTCATTACATTCCATGAGAAAAATATAACAATAGATAATATTTAAAACGTATATTAGATAATACAACTTCCATAAATGAAAAGGGTTGTTGTGCCTTAAATCATTTTTATAATGACTCCAACAGAAAAATAATGTTTTTACCGGGTCCTCTTGGGGGATTTTAATAAAACGACAGTTAAAATGTTCATCCATCCCTCCATTCATCCATTATCTATACAGTTTATCCCCGAACAGGGTCCGGGGGAGCTGGAGCCAATCCAAGCTAACACTGGGCAAGAGGCGGGGGAACAACCTTGACAGGTAATATACATATACATACATATAATATATATGTTTGTTATATTATTGGCTAAGTAATTTTATTTTTATGCTAAATAATTGGCCAGCTGTTTTGTCAATATAGCTAAATACAGTATATACAGTATATAGCAGTTGCCCGCCTTGCCAACAGGATGCACTTATTTTTGTGACAGTAAAATGTCCCACTCAGTAATTATGTTGGACACAATTCTTTAAGAGGTCCTTGTCAAAAAAGTACAAAAAAATGTAGCATTTGAAAAACTATGCAAATAAATGTTAGCTTTTCTATCATTTTAAAGTTATACACATACATCAAACTAACACTGTACTAAGGTAGTCATATGTACATCTGGTTATTTACCTGCCTCTGTTAAAATCTGGCACAAAGCAATGGGTTCTGGGAGAGCCAACCTATAGGAGACAGTCCTGAATAGGGCTGGATTGCCACATCAGTGTGAAAAACTAAGGGACAGCCCCACCACCTGATGATTATTTTGATACAACTGTGAAATAAACAATACATTATATATAATACAGTTCAGACTGATTTGAACATGTCAGTGTGAAGAAACATCTCATTCAGAAAATGGTTTTAGACTATAGCGATATCTCAATAAAATAAACAGAAATCGACTCTTGGGGGGGGGAGTGCAATTCTGAACATCCCTCTGAGCCCAGTAATGCTGTGCTATCATCCCAGCCTCAGCTATTCTGTCCTCCAGGTGCATCAATGGATGACCTACCCAGTCATGTTTAAGCCACTGTAATTTTACCTCTACTACACTGTCAGCACTAGATTATCCCTTTCCTGGACAATACCATACCCTTTACAGTCCTTAGGCAACAAATTGTGTCTGCATGGTGGCAGTACATGCTGCTTGATCTCTGAACTCCAAACTACAGTCATTTAGACTGCTTTTTCTGGAATGAGAAGATCCCACGATAAGGGGGAAATACAATGCAGTAGTGTTAAATACTTTTGGTACAGTCAGTCCTACTGTTGAAATTTTCTACAAAATTCAAGCATGTATCTGAATTATCTCAGTGACATGACTGTGTTAATGCAGGGAAGTAGCAGCTCAGGCGATAATGTGAGTTGGCCATTAATTGAGGGGTTGGTGGTTTGATTCCAGCTTCTCCTAAACCCCAAATTGCTTCACATGTGTAAAAACAATAAGTTGATTTGGACAAAACTGTCTGCCAGATGAATGCTGTGTTAATAATTAGAGGAGAGACTCGTGGATTACACGAAGAGACAGAACTGAGACAGACTAAAGCCTCAAAAGAACTTTTGTAAGTTCTGCAAGATAAGTGGAAAAACCTGAGAAATAGCCGACCTTGAAAAGTGGTGTGCAGGTGAATTGGTTTTAAAGGCAAACTGACACAGGTTTTTATTCTGTTGACTGCACTTTGTACTTTAATTTCACTTAAGAAATTGTAAAATGAAACAAATAAAAACTTTTTTGGCATGTATGTCTAAAAGCATCCTTTCTTTAGGTGCCTAAAATTTTCCACAGAACTGTATATTTTGGTCATGTGTCAAACTGTAGCCTCTATGAAGGTATTAGTCTCACATTAGCTACTGCTCCCAAAGCAATTGCTCAATATCTCTCTTTAATTACTGTAAGTGGAATATATTTGGGTTTTTTTTTTTAGTGTTGGCTGTATTTCTAAGTGTTGGTTGTACAAGATCCAGCAATTTGAAGACATTTGTTTGGACAATGAGAAACAGTGGTGGAAAAAGTACTCAGATTATTTACTTAAGTAAAAGTAGCAATACTAGAGTGTAAAAATAGTACCCTGCTACAAGTAAAAGTGTTACATAAGTGAAAGTACAAAGGTATAAGCATCAAAATAAAGGCTACTTACTGTAAGCTACCAAAGTATAAGTACTCTTTATTAGGAATGGGACATTTCCCATTAGTGTAGGCTATATCATATTATTGGTTTATAATTATTGATGCATTATTGTACAGGGTACCTCACATTTAATGTTGCAGCTGGTAAATGTGGAACTAACTTTACTTTATATAGTATATTTATAATTTGAATTACTGCTGGTGTGCGTTTGTCACATAGGGTCAATAACGTCTATGATTTTGTATTTTTTTATAGTAAATTTGATTCTGAAAAGTAACTAGTTACTAAAGTTATCAAATAAATATAGCGGAGTAAAAAGTATGTTTGCCTCTAAAATGTAGTAAAGTCGAAGTATGAAGCAGCAGAAAAAGGAAGTACTCAAGTAAAGTACGAATGTCCCAAAACTGCACTTAATACAGTAGCTACTTGAGTAAATGTATTTAGTTACTTTCCACCACTGATGGTAATATTCGTATGGGCAGCGATCGTAGGCCTACTGCAGTCTACTGTTTACTGTCTGCAGGCTGCATCACAATGAAGCGTGTCCTCGTCTGACCCGGGCGGAAATGCTGTAACATCAGCGGACCAGTTTCTCTGTGCTCCGGAGCGCTTCTCCCAGCGGCTCCTCAACGGACACACCGCCCTGTGGACAGGAAAGGACGACCCTTGGCTAAATATATTTCAGTGTCTCAGACCTGTGCTGTTATGCCCGCTGTCACCCCGGTTCCCAGCGCTTGCGCTAGTCCTCTGCAGCTGACGTCACACCCAGCATGGCGGTCAAGGTGACTCCGTCAATAATTCTTATCAGATATTAACGTTAAGGCAGTAAAGCGGCCTTGAAGGTACCGCTGTTGGATACGGAGGACCGCTTGTCTGTGCGGACGCGTGGGTTTATTTCTTCTATCTAAAATTCAGCGGACACCCCCTTTATTGTATTCCCGCATCTTTACATAGGCGCATCTTTGCCGGCCTCGCACAGACAGCTGTAATTTCTGTTCCGCTATTGCATATGTATATCATGGAGATGTGGCTCGAAGCGGTTTTATTTTGTAGTCTGAAGGATCGCAGCATGGTTATTTTCCCATGCAGGGTGTTGTAGCTGTTAGAGCTGTGTGGGATCGAGCCTGCTGAGCTGACTTCATAAAATTCAAAGCTCAACAGTTACAGCCTGAACTTCATTTTTACTGAATAGCAGACTCAACATATAACAGAATAGCTTGCTGAAGTCTTAACTGTAGACACCATCATGATATTCTGACCCTGACATTTTTATAGCAAATTCCAACTTGTTTGTTATAGGTGCAAGCAATAAAAAGAGCAGACCCCCATGACTTGAAGACTATTTTTCTGAAGGTAAGACTGTTATTCATAGAAACAAAAACATTTGGAGCATTATAGCCACACGCAAATACATATTCAAACCGTGTATTCCAAGTTTACTAATGTGTTGCGGTCAGTGAGTAGTTTTTGTGTGGTGTCCATTGGGTTACATAGTTCAGTATAGGTCATACAAATGCTTCGACTAATTTTGGATGAGCTTCAAAAGGGAATCTCCCCTGTTTTGACTTTGTCTATGTGTAGCTTCTGTTGTGATCTTCAGGATGTCATTGATTTTCTCATCATGCTCTGTCTGCTACCATTCAAAGACATGAATCCCTGGCATTAGTGTCTAGGCTTGTTTACCCTCACAGGTTTTGTTTGGACTCTAAACTTGTTCCCGCATGTAGGGACTGTTTGAGTTACAAGTCGCCTTGTGGTCCCTCCACATCTCTTGACTCTACTATAAGAGGACTGTGTAATTTGTGATGCATATTCAGGTGGAAGAGTTAATTACTGGAAGCTCATTCTGACTGCCAGTATAATTTGATTAAGAACTACTTGAGGCCCACTGTGAGAGTGAATGGATACACAATCATGTGCTGGAGAAATGTGGCAATAAATTGCTTGGAATTAATATTTTCACTTAAAACATTAATTCAGATGAGTGCATTGAATTGTAGCCCTGAAAACACTTGGAGTGAAGGTCTCCTCCCCGCACTCCTTCTCTGTGTATGTCTCTCTCTCTCTGAGCTTGGCTGAGACCCATGAGTGTGGCCTTTCTGTTGCCAGTTCTTGTGGCACTTGTGCTTTCAGAGCTATCTCTGTTCCAACTTGAAATCCAACCCAGGCTCTAAAAATGACCTTACATCTTTTAGCCCAGCTTAGATCTCGGGTTTAGCACACGGCTGTATTGGTTGTGCATGCTGTGCTTCAATCAAGTGGAGCAACATAGTCGGAACACAACACTTGCAAGGTGGTGGTTATTGATTTATTGTCACCGTGCGCTATGGAATTTATCAATTTAAATTCGATTTGAGCAGTATGTACCATGAGACGAACCCTTAACACTGAGGTTCGCTTTTAAGCCTGAGCCACAGTCATTGGCTGCCTTGGACCTTTGCTATCTATTACTATTTATTTGCTAGGCCTTTTATGTTTTTGTAAATTTCTTTGGCTGCCACGGGAGATGTGTTACTGTCTTGCTGCTTTATATACAATGACACTAAAGGAAACTTGACTTCACTCTTGACTCAAATGAGGAGAACTGATTTATGTTAATATTAGACTTAAAGGATTTTAAGTATCCTGATTGTTCTGGCATTTATGCCACTAAAATCTTTTTCTGTGTATTCACTGTTATAGTTTGAATCTTTTATTGTGATATGAAATTTCATATGACAGGATAGAAGATGCTATCCATGTCGTCTGTCACCTTGATTGTTGTTAATGTTGGCCTTAAGGTTCGATGAGTGGGCTTGTGGTTGAAAAGTCCCTCACACAGGCAGGATGCATTTGAGCAGAAAAAGTGATAGAGTAAGAAAGAGCCTGCCCACCTGACTGACGTGCCCTTGAGCAAGGACCTGAACCTCCACATGCTTCAGCTGCTCAGTAAAACCTACGTCCTGGTTATAGAAAACGGAACACAAACACATTATTGCCTCAGAGGAAAGCAATACGAATTGAGAAAGCCACGGTAAAACAAACTTGTTGGTTTATTGTATTCAGTCCCCACATCATTCTCTTTCATTGTACACAATGGAATTTCTACCTTAACAATTCATAATCGAACTCTACATGTGGATCCACATCGAACGTCCAGACTGTTTACAGCTCTGTCTGTCTCCCCTGCAGTATGCCAGTGTGGTGCAGGATGGAGAGCATTACATGACTCCCAGGGACTTTGTACAGAGTTACCTGGGTCTGCATACACAGCCTGAACATAATCCCAGAACTGTGGAGCTGATAGCTGGAGTGGCCGACACCACTAAGGATGGGTGAGTAACTACAGTGGATGAGAGAGGAGTTGCTGTGGAAGTCCTCTGTTATGCCAAGATGTCTTAATACATGTAGAGTAAACGTCACTCTTGCTTATGTTTGTATTTGCCCAACAGATGTTTGTGTACAGCTTGCAGCTTTAGTCCCCAGAGTCAGCTCTAATACCTTTTCATGGTCTAAAATTGCCTCTTTGTTTTTCTTTGTCTATTGAACATGATATTTCCAGTGTTTACACATGCAAGTATGTACTTGTGTTTTTGCTGCTGGTATATTCCTGCAATAAAAACAAATTCCTGTAGAATTACCAAAACAATAATGAAGCTATGGTTTTGTCCAAAGTTTGAAATCTTAGAGGTCACCGTTGATTTCCATCCATTTGGAATCAGCTAAATATAACTAATGAGTATTTACAACAAAGCATGTACTCGTTTGGTTCTTAATGTACTTTCAAGTCAGCAAAACATCTCTAGGCCACTTTGATACCTAACTCATTAATTGTTGGCTAAATATGCTATTGATTTTGGCAAAATACATTTGAAGTACTTGATCACAGTTGCACATACTTTCAGCTTTAATTGGAGTGTATAGCAACAGTTAGACTTGTAGACACTCTCGTTAATAGCTGAAAAATAACTATTTCACCTCAAGGTCCCAGTTAGATGTTCACTTTGAGCACCTCTCGTCCGTGCTGGTTTGAAGTCGAACTTCAAAGTGAACTCTTAGTTATTATTAATAATAGCAAATTGCACATTATTTTATACCTATAAATGATCAAATGTGATATATAAAATCGTATTGTTTGTAATTTTGTCAAAGATGAAAGTGTTTTTTCTTCAGCTGGCGCTCTCTCTTGTCCGCACAGACTGATCTCCATCCAGGAGTTTCTGGCCTTTGAGTCCGTTCTATGTGCCCCAGATGCTCTGTTCATAGTTGCCTTTCAGTTGTTTGACAAGACTGGCACAGGGAACATCTCATTTGGTATGTACATGGTGGTTAATGTCAGCACCCTGGTGTAGGGATGCGCTTCCAGCTTAATTACAGGAAACTAAGTGTCATGTTATGTATATAGAGTGTAGCTTAGACATAAGGGCTCAAGATGTGTTTGAATATAAAACAATGAATCTTGTGGGTCACAAGTGATATTCTTATTCAAATGTGTAGTCACTAAATTAGTATTATTCACATTTTTCTTTTTTGGGCTTATGGAGCCTATATTAAATATGCCAGAAAGGTTGTATTCTTAAAGTCTCAGCTAAAGGCAGGACAGCAAGCAAGCTGTGTCGAACATCACATTATAACCAGCTCAATCTTCTCCAGGAAGAGAAAAGAATCCAGCATGTCACAAACCAAGAGATGCAGAGTGGTACTAAGGAGCTGCTGCTATACCATTTTTGTGTAATGTACCTCCCATAAAGGCGACTGAAATTGGAAGCAGTGCTTAGATAGAAAATTTCACGGACAGACTCCAAAACTTCAAAACGTAAAATGAGTGGGACTGTCAAACAACCTCTTCGCTTCACAGTCCAAACCGACTCTTTCTTCCACTTTACCAAGCTCCTCTACAGATGGAATGAGGACGTGAGATGGACGTTAGAATTGCATATTGCATGTTTTTACCTCTGCCTCGACTTATCGCTCCCTCGTGTCTGACTCTTCCAGAGAATGTGCGTGACATCTTCAGCCAGACCTCAGTTCACCACCACATCCCCTTCAGCTGGGACTGTGACTTCATCAGGCTACACTTCGGCCATGAAAGAAACAAGCACCTCAGCTATGCAGAGTTCACCCAGTTTCTGCAGGTATACATTTTATATCTCAGTTTTATTTCTGAACTAATGAGCCACATGTTAAACATGAGACACAAGTATTGGCCCAATGTTTACAACTAAAGCATTTTGACATTTTTTTGGGAAATACACTTGCTTAGATGTGAAGAACAGGGCCAGTCTCATGTCTGTCCATTAAGAGTTTTCAAATCTTCTAACTATTCCTCTAATGTTACATTCTACAGCATGAATAAAAACAAGTCTGCAACTGAAACAAGAACTGATATTAAAAAAACATCTCGAATAGAGACAAGACATTATGACCTCACTGTCTATAGCACCACATCTGGCATGGCTAAACGTCCACCCTCTGGAGTTGAGGACTGAGCACTCACAGGCTTCTGTCATATGTACGGTGACATGTTCACTGTCATCACATCAGTTCGTTAAGGGTGCTGGACTGCAAGGGGATGTGAGACAGGAATCAAATATACAGAAGTGGTTTGGAGTAACCCAGTGTACTATTAAGACCTAATGTTGTTGTTTTGCTTTGCCGGTCTCTGCTGCGATGGCAATGAGACGCCTGTGCTGTTAAATCAGCAGCAGTACGGTCAGGGAAGAACCTGGTTTGGAGTCCAAGGCTGTGGTCATAGGCAGAAGCTGGGTGGTCCAAGAGTTATAGTTTGTGCTCTGGCTCCCCTGCGGTGTGGGACCCATCAGCGCTCTTGGTGGTTTATTATATTTGACTGGGGCTTCCCACCATTACACCAAAGACTCCTTTTGCAGGATTTAATTTACATCTATGATTATTATTGCTTCCTGTCACATACAAGCACATTTATTTTCTTTTAATCGAGTATTAAAACACAAAGATGTACAAGTCTATGTGAAGATTTGATCATGTTTCAAACCAGCTGTGGTCATTGCAGTATGTGACTGGACTTCAGCGGGTGCAGACAACCTAGAACATTTCAGCAAGTACTGTATAATGTTTTGTGAGGCGAGAAGTTTTGGCAATGGGCTTTCAACAGTATAATCAGCAAACATTGTGAGAATTAATCTTCAGCAACAATCCACTGATTAGGTTATCAGAACCAGAGTGTACAGATGAAGTAGCAGCAGAATATTGCGGTGACATTGCTCGGTGATCCTCTGTACGCGATGAGCTTTGACAGCAGACAGCGACCTGGGGTCAGCCTGCCCCTGCATCCCGTTCTGATTGCATGGTTGTCATAGTGAATCATCTTCCTGCAGACACACCTGCCGGCCGTCTCACTGGCCGCTCTGCTCGCCTCTGGATCAGACTTCTCAGGACATGGTTTCCATTAGTCTCCTGTGAGACAGCGGTGATTACAAAAACCAGTGTCTGACACTGTCGCGTCTGATGACTTCCACATCTGTCCACTTTCACCTCTCACTCGTAATGCGATGCTCCTCATCACAGGAACACACCTTTTTTTTTTTTTTTTTTTGTCATCTAATGACTTCTCGTGTGTGTGTGTTGCTGCAGGAGCTGCAGCTGGAGCATGCCCGCCAGGCTTTTGCACAAAAGGACAAGAACAAAAGTGGCACCATCACTGCCTTGGACTTCAGCGACATTATGGCCACCATCAGACACCACATGCTGACTCCATTTGTCGAGGAGAATCTGGTTTCAGTGAGTTGTAGGAACACAGGCTCTTAAAGTTTTAGAACATAAGAAATTAGGATTCAGTGACTACAGTTAGCAGTTTATATTTCAGAGAACCACTGTAATTTAGCAGGCTGAAGAAGTAGAATAACACCTATCTGAAGTCCCCTCTATACAGAAGAAATGACGGATTTCGGCTTTTTCTATAGGCTGCAGGAAGCAGCACATCCCACATGGTGAGCTTCTCCTACTTCAATGCCTTTAACGCCCTCCTCAACAACATGGAGCTGATCCGCAAGATATACAGCACCCTCACCGGCACACACAGAGACACACTTGTTACCAAAGGTACCCCTGAGACACACCGGAGGGTCTCCTGACATCACTGAAATAGTTGTGTGTATTTTGTAGGTGATATGAAATGTAGCTCGTCAATCACAGAGTGGTACGAGCGAACATGCAGGGAATTCTACTGTAGCACTGAATTACAAAGGTAAATGAAAATCTATAACCTGGTAATCAGTGCACCGCCTACGTGATGATCTGTGAAACTAACAGTCGTACTATCAGTCACATCTGCTCCTAATTGAGATGCAAACAGGCTATTATTCTACTCTGTTTTTTTCCCTTGTAGAGAAGACTTTGGGCTATGAGTATTTGCAAATAATTTTCATTATTTGTATTACCAACCATATCAGATGGGAGGTGTGTGGCAAATGTCAGTCACAGAATAGCATATCATTGCCGTACTCGAGATCAGAGAAGCCTGTAACCGAAGGCTACAATCCTTGGACCTGACAGGAAGGTTTTTGTGGGGGGGAGTGAATAACTAACTCCTTTCCCTCCTTCAAAAACTACCATTAGGTTTCCTTGGAGAAAGACCACCTGGTGGTAATGGAGCTTCTCAGCAGGCAAGAGTAAAGAACTGAATATAAAACACATATAAGAGTGATGCAGGGTGGCGCTGAGAGAATGCATGCTCAGTTGTCCTGCAGGGGAAGGAGGTAAAGCATATACAGAATTGATTTAGTGATGTTGTTTAGCAGCAAGCATCCACAATAACACTAGACAATGAAGAGCATTTGCAATTACTGTTTGATAATAAAAAAAAAACTACCTGACCCGTCAGACTTGAATGCATTGAAGCTACAGTATTTGCATCACTTCATTTAACCTTGTCTTTGTTGTACTGTAGAGGAGTTTGTTCATGCTGCCATTAGGTTTGGTCAAATCACTCCAATGGAGATCGACATCCTGTACCAGCTCTCCGGGCTTCACTCTCACTCTGGGTAAGATTCTGATCTACTCTGTTTTAAACCTCTGGAGTCTGTCTATCCACCAATGAATACAACTTTATTTATACATCTTGTAGAGATAAGTTGAGAAAAGCTGCTGAAATTGCTGATGTGGGTCTTTCTCACAGTATCTCATTTATGTCTATAAACCATTGAACTATAATAATATTTTAAGTGATTATGATTAGAGATGTGTAATTCTAGGCAGATTGATATTTTGTTGAATTGACAAAGTCAAGTAAAAAAAAAAAAAAACGCGTGCTGATGTCAGCTCAAATGGTGCTAAACAAAAACAAAAATGAACAAAAAAAATCCACCTGGAGTCCCAGAAATTAAAGTTTTAACTTTTCCACTTTTGTTAATGCAGTTTATATGCAGTAAATTCACAACATTTATATAAAACCTTCTTTTATTTTTTAAAATTCCATCATGAATGGAATAAGTATGTTACAGGTCTATTTATTGGCTATAAAGATAAAGTTATTGCTTATTTAGTTTAACAACAGTGGCTCCACTGTCTGATTAACAAGATAAACACAAAACATGGACACAGACTTTATGATGCATTAGGCCATTAGGGAATATTTGTGTCTCAAACATTTAGTAACAAAGTACCTTCATTTACGTGTCGGGCCCTCTTCCAGCTTTGTTTGGCTGTTGTTTATATGAGCGTAAATTAAAGTTGCAGTAACTTCGAGTTATATGCCAATAAAATGTCTGTGGAAAACCTTACATCACTGGCTGCTGCTCACAGTAGATGCAGGGCTCTCTGCTTCTTCCTGGCGTAACCATCTCCCTCCCTGCTGTTGTGTGTTAAGGCGGCTGAACCTCGCAGACATTGAGAGGATAGCCCCGCTGGAGGAAGGAGCCATGCCGTACCACCTAGCAGAGACCCAGAGACAGGTACCCCGATGTACTCTTCTAATACACCTTGCATCCTCCTGCCTTTTATCAAAGCTTTTTCCTCTTCTCCTTCTGCTTCCGACTCAGAAAGGAAAGCAGAAAAGGGGAGAATGTTCAGTCACTGAATTAGCAGAGTACCCATGTTTTTCTTGCCTTGTGAGGTGCATTACTTAAACTCGTAGATAAAAGTACACCAATTATAGTTATAGAAGATAAATGGATTGTTGCGTCTCACCTCTTCATGAAAGGCTCTCCCCATTTTATTCAGTATAGCTGCACATACACATCAGCTGTAATCACACATCTGAGAAGCTAATAAGAGGCTTTTATCAGTGTGGGGCTTGAGGAGTTTTAGGAGCCTTTAGCAAAGTCTGCTAATGGTAGGAGGGGAATGGGAGTCTAGGTGGATGTGGGAGAGCAAAATAGTTCCTGGCTCCACCGGATAACATGGCTCTATATCAGGCTGTGGTCAGAGCTTTCAGGCCACTCGTGCTCCTGGGACATGCTCAGAGGTCTGGAATTTGATTCCTCTGAGGGGGATGCTGCAATTCTCAGGCCTGCCCTTTAGTGGAAGTAGGCTAATTGTTTAAGCCCTTTGATCAAGACCTCAATCTTGTTAGCATGCAAACCCTTGGTGTAAGCATCTGGGAAAAAGGGAAAGAATGATCTGCACTACTCCCTTCTCATCAGGTCCAGGCAAACCTGCACACGTGCATAATAGAGTCTCACTCGGGCTGTGTAATATTCATGTAGATACTTATCTTTACATCAAAAAGGCTTGTGGGGCTAATCTGTTCCCCTGCACCGCAGTGAAACCGAAGGAGATTCGCTTTCAACATCAAACACTGATCCAGTGATCAAGTAGATATGAGTGAAATTTCACTTTGTTGAAAAAAAATTAAAGAAGACCTTTAGCTTATAGCCTCCCACATGTAGCATGTGCAGCAGCTACAGTTTCACACAGTCATTTACTGTATCCAGAGTTGGTCTGTCTGTGACATTTAATACTGGCTGATAATGAATAAGATGTTACATGACATGTCCACATTCCAGCGCTTTCCTGTGTTGTTGAGTACTCCATAGCATTTTTCTTTCCGCAATGTATCTGGTTCGCTATAGTTTAATAACCATGGTCAGTGTTCTGATCCCCCCTTCTTTCTCCAGATTCATTTGACCACTGGTGTCTTTTTCTCCTATACAGTACACTCATGAAATGTCTCGGCCTGTCTGGCTCCAGGCTGCAGAGTCTGCCTACAGGTTTACCCTGGGCTCAATCGCTGGAGGTGAGTGACATGTCTGCTGCAGAGCCCCCCGGCCCGCCCGAGGGGTAACCTTAGCTGGCCAGACCGGCATACTGGGACCCCGGGGCCGGCCATTGTGCTGCAGGGAGAGGGGCTGTGATGTGAGGCTCCGGCATTGTGCTGCCGTGCCACTGGTGGCTCCAGGCTGTCGTTGGAGTCGGAGCTTTGGAATGACACAAATCTTCCGGAACCGCACTCTCTGGAATCTTTGTCTAATAACACTGGAAAGAAGGGATACAAGGAACCTCTGACATAACTGCCTCTCAGATTGGAACACACTTTCACTGTGTGGGTGTGTGTGTGCTCTCCACAAAGACGCAAAGACCTTATTCACCAGTGGCCAGTTTAGTCAGGGTCACAAGGCATATGGTGAAACTGCCATGTCTCTGTGGTGATAATGAGCTGTTTTTCACCCTCTGTGCTGACTGAGCTGTTTGCATGTTTGAGAGAAGGGTCATTACAGCAGCCTTTGATGTCAGACAAGACATGGCAAGCATAGCTGAGAGCAGGAGTTCAGAACAGTTTTCCCAGCCGCCAGACTTCCAGCTCTGAGCTTAATAACCGTTTTTTTATTAGTTTATACACAAACACAGCACTATTTATTTCTCACTGATCATTAAACAACCTCCCCACAAACATATCTTCTGACTGACTAATCATTATTGCACAACCTAATTGTATAAGACCCAAATAAAGCATGAAGAGGAGTGTCTAAGAGCTCAAAATCTATTTAAGAGCTGAAACAATTAGCTGAGAAATCTACTGGTGGATATTTTGAGTATTTTAATAATTGATTTGTTGTTTAAGTCCCTTTTCAAGCAAAAATGGCAAACGTGTATATATATATACATACATACACACACACACACACACACACACACACACACACACACACACACACACACGTTATGTGTAATAAGTTTTTTTAGGTGCTCAAAATGCTGGTGAATACTTCTTTCTAGAAATACAGAGCTAAGATTTCAATCAGCGGTTTCACCAAATGTCTGTTTTATAGCCGCCGGTGCCACGGCTGTGTACCCCATCGACCTGGTGAAGACGCGCATGCAGAACCAGCGCTCCACTGGCTCCTTTGTAGGAGAGCTGATGTACAAGAACAGCTTTGACTGTGCAAAGAAAGTGCTTCGGTACGAGGGCTTCTTCGGATTCTACAGAGGTAATAATCCGTTACAGATTTTATAAGGGGACCTGAAATTTGTGTACAGGTCAACATGTTGATGTTGCATAAACGTCTGATGGGAAAGCATCAGGATATGTCACTGTGCTAATATCAGCAGCATGGTTTGCTAATTGATACCAGAAACCTTTGCCCTCTCTGTTTGGCAGCGAATAAAGCAACACCTAGGGGTCACGTTTTCATTATCTCAATACCTGGGAGAGCTCCCCAAGGAAAATGACCAGCAGATTTCATGTAGTAGCAGTGTCTGATCTGCCTCTGCCTGGGTGGAGATAATGGTGCTGAAATATGAACGCTTCTACCCACAGACTGCTCATATGAAGGAAGTCAAGACTGCCATCTACTGCTATCTCCACCACTGCAGCTCTTTGTTGCTCTGATCCACTTCCCTCCGCCCCCCTTCCTCCTCTCTTGCACATGATAAGAGGGTGATTGACTCAGAGACAGACGCGCTCGGCTGTTTTCTGGCTGCATACCAGCAGCAGTCACTCAGCAGCTCCTTCAGAAGTTTATCTGGCTTGATGAAGGACATACGGTGAAACAGTATGGTGGCTATCACCACCGTAGCACCCGGTCCCTCCCTCGATCTTGTCCGTAACTACACAGTTCTCTCTGTTCCCCACCAACACCAGGATCAAGCCTCAGCAATGCTGATCCCGTATTGCACAAGCAGTGTCATACTTTTGGATTTTTGTTGAGTCTCAACGGGACCTTTGTGCATTGGCCACATCTGTAAATATTTATGGGTTTGTTTTAGGCACACAAGAACCCTGCTGCAGCTTATATTGTTCTAGCTGTCAGTGGATGTATTCATTCAGCAAAGATAAAAAATGTGCATTCATTTCAAGCCAGACCTGTCTCTCCGTCAGGTATTCTAATAGTATCTATGAATAATATTTTGCAGGTCTCCTCCCGCAGCTCATTGGTGTTGCCCCGGAGAAAGCTATCAAACTCACGGCAAGTCATTCCACCGTGTAGCTTAGAGTGTTCCAAAAGTTGCTCTCAGTGATTCACTGTGAATGAAAAATATGCATAGTGCATAGAAGAAACACACTCTTCGCAATCAAGATGTGACTGCAACCACAAGTTAACATTAATGCCCCTACTATGAAGATTGGGATTGTGTCTCATCTGCCTTTTTTTTTTTTCCAGGTGAATGATTTTGTCAGAGACAAGTTCACCACACAAGATGATACCATCCCTCTCCCTGCAGAGATTCTCGCTGGTGGATGTGTAAGCCTTTAAATTCTGTCTATAGATGATAGACTCCAAAGCAAGTAACACCAAAAATATACATGAAATAATTAATGGAGAGAAAGATTTGAATTTTTTTCTTTTATTGTATTGTTTCAATACTCATGAGACCCTGTTTGGATTGTCATGACGCGGTTTACATAAGTACATACTTGCTAACAGTTAAGACCAATGTTACATCTTTTATTGAACACCAGCCTAGCTTGTTCACTTGTAACGTGGATCAATATTTCAGTTAATCAGTTAGTACAAGAGAAATTAAATTACATGACAGAACTGCAGAAAGCACTCTGCTGCCAACAGACACACACACACCCACACTCTCAGTGCAGTTTGGATGTATAATAGTATGACAGAGTGCCTGCAGGCTGGATAGCTATGTGTTAACAGCTGAAGTTTTCACGACTCCATATTCTATTGAGTCGTTTAATCTTCAACAACACGTCACATTTTATAAACTCATCATACTGTATGTTCTGTGTGTAAACAAGCAGCTTAAGCAGTCAGGCAGTCAGATTTAATGGCATAAATTGTAAATACTCAGATGACGCTTAGCACCTCACATTTATACTTAAGTGTAGGACTTGTGTTGATATTGTAAGTGAAAGACAGCAGCTAGAATAGTGGATGAACTGAACTGAACCAATTTCCTGTTTTGGTCCAAGAGTTTGGATCTATGTTAATTTTAGTTTTCTGATTATAGGGAATTATTAAATTGGTATTTTGATTAATTGTGGCAACTTATTAAATTTTTGTTAAATTTTATTTGACTCAGTTTATCAGCAAATTCTTCCCATTTAAAAATGTTATCAGTAATAATCATTTATTAAATGTATGTGAAACATGTATTGTTATTTTTCTCGTCAACTCATTTTAAATGGGTTAAATTTACACTTTGAATCCTCTAAAAAGTTTTTTTTTTTTTGTTAATTTTGGCCCATAACAGCTTTTGAGTACAACTCTGAATTAAACATATAACTGTTCACTGTGGTGAAGTGAAGCAGGCGGGCCATGGAGCAGAGCCCACAGGTTGCTCACAGAGGAGCAGGGTCTGCGGGGTTGTGACCCCTGTCAGGGTGCAATTGGAGGAAGAGGCCCTGAAGGGTCCTGGATGAAGCGGGATCTGGCTCACTGTGATTGAGTTTGACAACGCGGTATATATCCGAGACGCGGTCACGGGACGGGTCCAACAAGGATATTTCCATTACATACTGTTAACTACTAAGAACATTTCCCATCTATGGCCTTCTTTAACTTCTTCATGTGCTTTATATACATTGGCCGACATCCTCTTAAAGTCTGGCTAATCGGATGGGAAATGCTCGTTAAATTATCGCTTTCATCAGGAAAGAGAACTGGAGAAGATAAAAGAGAAGGGATGAGTGCATCAATCTTCAGAGCAGCGGATATTCTCCCTCCACTTTGAAAATGACTGAATGTGCCAGAGCTTTTTTTAGACCTTTGCTCGGATGTTTACAGATAAGACCCCTGCCCTGAATGTCACCAGCAGCCATCCTGGGGCCTGATTAGATTTGGGGAGGGTGATAAATGTGCCTGAGTCAGAGGGTGCTGTGCCCTTAGGGCTCTGCTTGCCAGGATCCTGAGCTGTCTGGGTGATTCAGCGCTATCCCCTGGGAGCGGGGGTGAAGTGGGGAAGTGCGCGGGGTGAGGCCAGGCTGGGCCGCTCACCCTGCCACAGGAGGTGCCTCAGGGGATGCAAAGGGGCAGAGGGCTGGTGCCAGGGTCAGAGCCTCCCAACCATGAGCTGGGGCTTCTCCTCGCCCTATCCCAGCTCTACTCTGACCCCCGTTGTTCTTCTATCAATGCCTGCTTTTTGCTTCCCCTGTCAAGGCCATTCTCTGACAATATCAGACCTTTTGTGCTAAAGTTTAATGAGATAATTTGAAAATTCCTACTAGCAAGAAATGCTTACACATCATAACCATCTTCACCCACATTTCACCCCATAGATGTGTAACCTCACTTATCACCTTGCTCTCTACATGTAAACCACTCACCTGCTATTTCTCTTTCCTGTTGCATCCTGCAGGCTGGAGCTTCCCAGGTGATTTTCACAAATCCTCTAGAGATCGTTAAGATCCGTCTGCAGGTGGCGGGAGAGATCACTACAGCGCCCAGGGTCAGCGCCCTGAGTGTTGTGAGAGACCTGGGCTTCTTTGGCCTTTACAAGGTAGGTCAACACCTCTGCAGCACTATGACGCCCACAGCATCCACCCTCAGCCATCCATACAAGGGCAGCAAAAGGTGCTCTAGCGTTCCTGAAATATAATGCCAACAACATGAGGAGTTTATTTATTGTTGACTTCAGTGTATGAAGAGGTTTTCAGTAACAAACTGAGGGGAAACACACACCTGTTGCTTGCAGGCTGACATCAATAAAAAGAGAATAGATTATGGCACAATCACAGCTATGACTGACATTTGATCAAACAAACGCCTCTAGGAGTCATCTGACTGGAGTTTATTTTAACTAGGACAGGTGTTAACAACTGAAGGCCTAGCACATATCCACATTATCAAGAACACAAGCACAAACCAGATGTCCTATATTTAGAGAAAGAATTCACAAAATGAAAATGTATATCTAAACAACTAATGCTTCAATTCGATTTTAAAGCTCAAATAAAAAAAAGAGGAAATTGACTCTTGATCTTGGATGAAACAGTGAAAATAAACTGATACAGTAACCATGATGTAATAGTTCCCTCTTAATGGTAATGAAATAGAAGAATGAAATGACAAATGGAAACAGTTCTTGAGTAATTATTTTCCACTATCATATATTACCAAATGATTTGCACAGACAAAATACTACTAGATTCGATCCAACAGCTGTGTGTACATAGACATGATGCAGCTCAGGATCAGAAATGTGAGCATGAAACTGTTTTTCCTGACTCTTGCTTTTTTTTCCAAAACAGCGTTAGACATGCAAAAGGAACTGCGGTCAACAACCAGCAGCAAATTACTGAGAGATTACGCTTTGCTACTGCTCTTTTCCAGCTCCAGTCATGTGTCCATAGTCCATATTTTAATGAGTAGCAGACAGTGTGTGGCTTGTTAAGAAAAAAAAAAAATTACTGACTTCCTCTTGGTAGAAGAAGCCAGCACACCAGGGTCCGTGGTGTCTGTGATACGCGTGTGTGATGGATTTCTCTCTAGATGTCGTAGCTCTGCCTGAGGCTCTTTGGCTCTGTCATCAGCACTAAAGGCCCCCTGTAGGTTGAATGAGACAGTTCCCAGGCCACTTAATCCTCAGCACAAACCTTCTCACTGCCTCTGCCCATTTAGTAGTCTTGTTATGCTGCATATATATATTTTAAGTAAATATATATTTTTCCTTTTAGGGAGCCAAAGCTTGCTTCCTGCGTGACATCCCCTTCTCTGCCATCTATTTCCCTGTTTATGCCCACACCAAGGCGAAGCTGGCAGATGAGGAAGGAAGGCTGGGGGCACTGCAGCTGCTTACTGCTGGAGCTATTGCTGGTAAGGAACATCTGGAAAGTTCCATGGCATTGGACAGCCAACCAGCAATGTTGTGTTTTTACTGAGACGTGTCAGATTTTCTGCTTCAAGAAATACATTCTGGTTTCCTCCCTGTTTATGTTTCTTCCATCCACTGTGCCTCTATATACAGTGCTTTTGTCATATCACACTATACAGCTATACCCATTTCAAACTCTGCATGATGCTGCAGTGGGGATGTCAGAATGTGACACCATCTGTGCATAGTGAAAGCGCTTCATTTTGTTTGTTGGGAAATGGCCCCTAAGGTGTACCGGCGGCTTCGCTAGTGACCCCTGCTGATGTCATCAAGACCAGGCTCCAGGTGGCAGCCCGAGCAGGCCAGACGACATACAGCGGAGTCATTGACTGCTTCAAGAAGATCCTCAAAGAAGAAGGCTTCCGGGCATTTTGGAAGGGTGCAGGAGGTAGATGCACACTCACAGTTCTATAAGTGGTTTCATGACTAGAAAATGAGACTTGCTTTGGTGGCTGTCATTATCTGGAAGCTACATAAGGAAATGTAAATCCCACATTGTAATTTTATCTTCCATTAGCTCGTGTCTGCAGATCTTCACCACAGTTTGCTGTAACCCTGGTGACCTATGAACTGCTGCAAAGATGGTTCTATATTGACTTTGGAGGACAGTAAGTACTTCAAGCCTGGTTTTAACAGGAATGAACCACTCGTTATTATCATGAACTGCCTGGCCCTAATCTGACTCTCCCTTCAGTCGTCCTGCTGGTTCTGAGCCCACTCCCAAACCCACGATCAAGGACCTTCCCTGTGTAACTGCAGACCACGTGGGCGGTTACCGTCTGGCTGCGGCGACCTTTGCTGGCGTGGAGAGAAAGTTTGGTCTGCACCTGCCAAAGTTCAAACCCTCTGGAGAGGTGACAAGCAAATCCGCGGGGTCCACAGCAGAACCGCAGGCTTCATAAACCATCGCTCGCCGTGACCACAAGGGTTGCATGCTCCTCTTGTTGTTTGGTCCAGACTTGCTTTAATGAATGTTTCGATTCAATGTAGTCGTGTTACATCGAACGCTGCACGAGTTTTGCTTTGTTTTTTCTTTTCATAGCTTGCACAATTTTATTGTACATATTGTACTTCTCTACAGAGGCACATTATGGTATTACGGAGCATTGTTACTGCATTTTCCTGGTGTGCAATAGCTTTGGTGTGCATGTGTCAGTTGTATTTCAGAGGCACAAGGATGTACAGATGTTTTCAAAAGTCTATTTTGAAATCATGACCAGGAACTTTGGAAATAATTTAAATGTATTTATTGTATTTTATTGAAATAAATCATTCAAACTGTTTGTTTCTACTGTGTGAAAAGTACAGTCTCAGGTTTGACACCAAGCTTTGAGATTCTTGTGGAAACAAATGATCTCTGTTCTGATCCCATTAACGTTCATCACAGATCTGGAAATCACTGAGCAGTTACAGCATTGACGATATTCCAGCTATCTTAAGTCTAGTCAGCTGCACTGATTAAGTGGAATCTGATGCAGTATACAGTATAAAGTAGAAAGACATGTGGATCTTGGACATTCCAGTATTATACAAATAAGTGAACATTTGGGGTAATCAAGTCAAAGGGAACAGAGATGACAACATGGGCTACAGCTGTGAGATGTTTACATTCCTGGATCTTCAAAGATGTGATTGCTTTGCTACAACTTTGGTAGAAATGGAGAACAGGTTTGAGTGTTTTTAATGAATATGCAGAGTGGAGTACCTACAGTAACTCAAAATTAAGGCTCGTGTTAATGTGCTGTAAATAAAGACAAGTAGGGGTTTTACAATCAAGATTCAAATTAAACCTTAAGGCATCTGGTTATAGAAAAGAGGACTGTTTGTGTTTGTGAATATGGCTTCATGTTAGCGTCTGAGGTTGACAGTCCTGTCACTTGCTTTACTTCAAGGAAGACTGGTGACGGTAAAGCTAACTGAGAAGGCAGAGTTGTCCAAACTAAAGGTGTAAGAAAGCAAAAGATGTCCATACTTCTTTGTGATCAAAACTTCACCTTTTCCTCCAGTTATGCTGTCATCACATCTTTTTCTTCAATTAAAATTAAGGAGCACAACACTGGTCCCATGTTAACAAGATCAGGCAGCGAGGCGCTGAGCTGCCAGCTCCTCTGCATCATCCCTGTTCTCGTTGATGTCTGTCAACGTGCGAACAAAACGGGTCCACTCATCGTTTCGTGGAATGGCAATTTGCTGTGGGGGAAGGGGCAAAACAGAGCCGTGATTCAGATTTCAAGCTGCCTTCTGCATTGGCATAGGATCACAGGTAATGCTTCATATGCATCTGTATGAACACTGGCTAAATCACACACTCGGACTCTGAGCAATATTTTGACAAATCTACAGGATGCTCTTAAAAACTGACCATAGGTATATTGTGCAATTAGGCACTAATCACTAAAGCAGAAGCAATAGCCGGTAAGAAGCTCACCTCTCCAACATCGTACACAAGAATTTGGCCATCAGAGTCTCCCACAGCAATTTCCCTGCCAGACTGAGCCCATCTGACCCTGTTGAGTGCTGGGTTACCATCTACTGTGATGCTGGCGGTAGGGACCTAAAGCAATAACACACAAGACCAACAATCAGAGGAGTGGAAATGTGCTCCTCATGCACCTCTGAAGTACAATAGATCATGTCTCATCAAGATCCGAGTGTGGCTTTCTTACAGAATACCCACAATTCTTTTTTCCTTTAAGTGGTCATAGAAAACATGCTTGCAGTTTGTTGTCAACATTACCTCGGTGTCATTGTTGAGGTTCCACAGGTCGAGATGTCCGACTCCGTCCACACAAGCAAACAGAGCGGGGTGAGTCGGAGACCACATGACATCGTACACGTAATCCGAGTTGTCCTCAAACGAATACAGGGGTTTGTTGTTCTGCAGGAGTATTTGATTTCATTTACAGGGAGTTCAGTTTTTGCTATTTAGCAGAACAGCTTAAGTACAACATACAGAAGATCTAGCTCATACCTTAGTGCTCCACAGCTTGACCGTCCAGTCGAAAGAGGAGGTGACAAACAGGTGGGAGAAGTCCAGAGGTCCTGCAGCTGTGTGGCAGTGGATCCCTGTGATGGGCCCATGGTGGCCCTCAAACATCTCACTGATGCCTGCTTTGCTGTGGAGCACATAGATGTAGTGGGGAGTAAGTGCAAAAGCACTCACAGACCAAATCAGACATGATAAATTCACTTCTGAAAAGCAACAGATGTTGAGTAATGAACTTCAGTTGACATGATGTTTGAATATACATTTCATTTAGGAATCACATTCAAATGATTAAAACATCTGGGTGTTACATTAAGCATCAAAGAAAGCAACAAGCACAGATGGACCTCTGCCGGATGTATTCACATTAATCACTTACTTATATCATGTGATTACCAGCAGGGTGGCAAAAGTGCCTGCAACCCCTCAACCACATTTTGCAGAGCTGTTACCCAACAGAGACTCTGATAATTAACAGAGAGAGGTAAATACTCAGCATGAGTGATGCTTATGCATTATTAACTGCGATGAGAGTATCATACCATTGTAAATGAGGTGGAAAATTATTCCCCCAATTACAGAGGTGATTCTGCTGCACAAAACCTAGCAGCTATCCCCTCTCCGTGGTCTCTGGGCATACTGCAGGACATTTAGTGTGGAGCTAGCACGCTACTCTGCGGCAGCTCTGATTTAAGCCACATTTCTCTGTTGAGGACCATCTGCTGTGAGAGCAGCCCCAGTCTCTTACACGAGAACACTGTGGGATGAACTGCACATTTAATTCTGCCTGGGACAAGTGACTGTAAACAAACTGTCTCACCCGGAGAAACATACCTAAAAAATTTTTTTTTAAAAGACAGGGAAAAATGATTTGTTTCCCCTGCATGTGTGCCCTGTTTATGTTGAATGACCTTTACAAACACAACTGACAAGCGGAAAAGAAAAACAGGATGACTGGGCAGGAGTGAAACCTCAAACAGGACGAGATCAAGTGTTAGGTTTGTGTTGCATTGGGAAGTGAGTGGGCTATATTTATTTGACACTCGGTCCTAGGTGGGCCTAACCAGCTGCCTCAGTTTCCTGGCCGTATTCTGGAGGGACACTGGGGACCGCGGCTGCTTATGAACGCACCTTCCATGACGACAGGCCATGTAGACAGAGCCGTCCTCGCTGCCCACCACGAAATTGTTGACATCTCCGAGAGGGAAAGACATGGAGGTGACAGCCACAGCTTTGGACTGCTTGAACACTAGCTCCAAGCTGTCCTGCAGAGGGGAGGGGACATGGAACAACATTCGTAACAAGCTCCCTGCCCAGACTTCATGTTCACACACACGCTGCCCAGCACAACCTATAAAAATCTTTTGACAGATTATTAATGTGGAATCAAAATTCAAATATTATTTAATAAAAAATATTTAATTCCACATTGGGGTAATGGCAATACAAGTGAAATGACACAGCTAGCAAAGTTAATTTCCTTGAAAAATGAGGTGAAGAGCAGCTACAGTTAAATCTGGGGGATATACCAAACAGGAGCACTGAAGCCAAAATGGTCGACACACGAGTAGAAGGAGCAGGAAGAGATGAAAGAGAAAATGTAAAAACTAAGCTGTACAAATCTTTAACCCAAAATCATTAACATAACTCAGACATTTTCCTCTGACCACCCATAGTTAAAAACCCACAGTATATATATATCGTACCTGTGGCTGTGAAAGCATGTCCAGACTCCATGAGCACATCTTGCCGTCAGTGGAGATGCTAATCAGGTTGTGGGCATTCTGGGTGCCGACCACATTCACACAGTAAACCGGATGCTGCAAACAGAATGAGGGGGATTGCTTTTACCCTTCTGCTATATCAAAATAAAAAGTGCGAGTCAGCTCTATCAGATGTTTACTGTACCGTGTGTGCTGCTGCTGACAGGGGAGTCCTTTGTACTGGGGTCCTCTTGTTGCTCCTATTGTCCCACAGGACAATCTGTCCTGAGTATGTGCCCGCCACCACAACATTAGGGTGGAACTTGGCAAACGCAGCCGACATTACGGCAGACTGGAAGAATGTGGAAGAAGTGGAGAAAGGCAGAGGCGATGTTTAATTTCTGTGCTGATGAAAAAGTACAAGTTTAAAGTGACACAGCCCAGCAGCAAGTCACCAGTCGTGTGTTGTCACTCCAAACCCAATCAGACAAATGCATCCAGACTCATGTCGGGCATGTCCAGCTTTAAGAACAAGACTCACTTGTTCACTCACTCAGTCTCTGTGGTGGCGACGGCCACTGTGGCCTAAAGATCTGTCAGTCTTTTTAAGCTGTTCGACATAGTAAGAACATCATGATATTTATGTTTTTGCTGTAAAAAACTGTTAGAAAGCAGTCAAAATAATTCGAGCAGTAATTCTGCAGAGACTAGCACAAACTGAACAATATAAGCATTTCAGACGTCAAAGATTAGAAGATTAATGGAAAATGAAATGGCAACTATTCTATCGCTTTGCCACATTCTTGTTCCAGCTTCTCCAGTTTGAGGATTTGCTGAATACTCCATCTCTGGTTTATATCAATGTAAAGTGAGTATGTTTGTGTTTTGTACTGTTTGAACAAAACAACGTGTCTGAAGACGTGACCCTGAGCTCTGAAAAACTGTGATGGGCATTTTTTTATATTACATTATATTTTTGATGAGAATGAATAGAAACACATATCATAATAACTTCAATTTTGCACTAAAGTAACTGACCACGAGGCTGAAATGTAATAAATCGACGTCTGGATAAATGGTTGAAAAAGAGGTGCAAAGTTTTATTTCAGCAACGCTTGAATTCTCTAAAGTTGCCAGAAATCAGAACATGGAAAACATCAACTTCAAGCTGCTATTTCCTGTTTCATCTCAAAAGTAAAAAAAAAAACCCAGCTCTGTGCATGTTCCCAAAACACAACCAGAACACATCTTTCATCACTCACGCCTCAGTTCTCACAGTATAAGCAAAACAAAACTCAAAGCTGGTCAACAGGATTATTATTTATTTTTTTATTATGACTTGAGTCATTAATTTTGTGTCTTGAGGTTAGCTTTCAGGCGCCTATTTGTACTCACTGCTTCACCTATCACAATCTTACCTCAATGTTTTTTCCCCTAAAGGAACTTTTTTGACCCACGTATTTACGTATTGATTAGGAAAATCAAATTCTGAGCCAATGTGGAGGCACACAGAAAATTGCATTCACACTTTTGTACAGTTTTGTTCATTGGAAGAACACACCTGCATCTACATCCGCTCTGGAGGCAACAACATGTGGTTCTACTCGACGTCTTGGTGAATGAGCCTTGGGGCAGGCATTATAACAAGGCAGAGCAGAGTGCTGCTCTCCCTGCTAGCTCGTCAGAACACAGGGCCCTTGTTTAGATGCACATGATAACCAGCCCTGCCCCACACAATTAATCCTGCTGCAGTGCTCAGATGCCATTCAGCTCCTGCACCACAGGTCTTCTCTGGCGCCGCATAAACATGTGCTTGTGGGTAGATGTGGTGGAGGTGGATGCCAGCATGGTAAATGCACAAATGCGGATGAAGGCAAGAGGAGTGAGGGGTGTGGGAGCAGAGGAGGGAGGCTGAGCAAACAGGGGTTGATGAAAAAAAGAAGCAGAGAGACTTTACTTTGGGTACCTGGCAATGAAAGACATACTCCGGTGTAGCTTTCTTGTACTTCATATTCCACACTAAAGCCACGCCATCTGGCTCATGAGGTGCATCCTCGTTGTTGTTGTATGAGGCAACCAGGAGTTCAGGATACTGGTGACAGAAATGGAGAAAAAAAACTAAACAAATCAGGCTAAATGAATGTTAGGGGGGGGGCAGACATGTCCCTCGGGCTTGGCTCTGTGTGGACAAGCCTCGCCTGCCCTGTGTGGTGCTGCTGAATGCCTTAATGAGTGAGTAATCCTTTCCTAATGATTTATGGTTCTTTAAGTACCTAAAGTAACTTTGAGTTTTTAGTAGGACATATAAACTAAGTTTTTCCATTTTCCTTTCATAATTTTAACCATAAACCATATTTCTGAAGGTGCTGAGAAGTAACAGCAGTAGACTCAAACTGAGCAGCTCAGTGAAACGTTAAAGCCGACTGAAGTGCACAGACTGAAAACAGGATCACTATCCAGACGTAAATAAACCATTAACCTCTGCTACTTCCAACACTTGATCTAAGATTTACAGTTTGTGAATACATAATTTCAAATCACAAGGGTCTGGGAATCGCTCCAAGCCAGTAAATACTGTGAACAAACAGTTGGTGTTCAATCACTGTCAAAAGTCATTGCAAAATTGTGCATTAAATGACCTTGGACACCAGGGGAAACAAATCATTACGGTCTCTAAGTGACATTATGTGTAGGACATAACTTACTTTTCCTGAGGGACTTGTGGCTATAAGTAGATGCTGTCAAGCATTATGGCTGCGCAAAGCAAAGCTGATTTAACAGCCAATTAGCACCACTTATGCACACTTCTATTTTAAACCAAAAACACAAACTCATTGCCAGGATTGGCACTTTTATAATTGCAAACGATTTCTAAATGGTGCTCTGAGAAACATGTTAAACTGAACTGAGGAAACAAAAAAAAAAAGACTGACCTGGGGGGACCAGTCGAGGCAGGTGACGACACGATGTTTAGACCAGCGCTCATCCATGAACTGCCTGTTCAGAGAGAGCTTTGCTCCGGCCTGGATTTCACTGGGGAAAAACAAAGCGCCACAAATCAATAAAAAACACTTCTTCAAAAACCAGTTACATGCTTGCTTTAAAAAAAAAAAAAAGAAGAAAAGAAACACTAGTTGTTCAATTAATACCCCTCCTTCTCCTCCAGGTCACGGCCACTGTAGTCAAAGAAGAGGTCCACGTGCTCTGATAGAGCTCGCTCAATAATACGAGTGCTGTGGTCAAAGAAATTCACAAACTCCTCTGAGTGCAGGATCTGGAGTTTTTCCTCCTCTGTCAGCTCATGGGGGGGTGCTGTACAGAGAAATATATAACCACAATAAAATGTGCAGCTCAGGAATAGAAGCCTCTTTGTATTATACACACAATTATAAAACTGCTAGAAAAAAATGAAGTGGCTCAATTTCACTAGAGTTTCTCAGTTCAAGTACCTTCCTCCTCCTCCTCCTTCTGGTCCAGTTTCTCAGTTGGTGTCTCGACTACTGGTTGAGGGGCAGCATTTTCTTCCTCCTCTTCATCCTCTGTTGATCAAAAAGTGAACTCCGTTAAACACTAAAAAATACGCAGGGTCAGGACATATAAACAAAATCTCTGAATCAACATATTCGTATGTAAGGAAATGTACATCGCAGTTTTATGCTATCAGTTTTGTCAAAACTGCGAATGTAGTAAAATCGAATTCAAAGCAACAACTTTCACAGAACAGGCAATCATGCCTCCAAACAGGCATTTCATACCTTTTGGTCACTACATCCTCCACCTCCATTATTTTCTTCTTTCAGTAAAAGCTCCATGCAATGATTACAGACATGGTAATAGACTGATTCTGTGTCTCTGCCTTCCATTTGTTTGGTTTTCAGCACAATGTTGCCTTTCAAAAAGAACCTGCTCCTCTAAAGCACTGAAGTTTGTCATTTAAAGGGACACAGCACAGCGGGTGTTTTGCTGTCATAGGGACCCCTGTCTTTCCCAACTGTTAATGAGAATCTAGCCATTCAACAGAGAGTGGAGCTGTCAGTGTAACTGTTTCCTCTATGTCCCAGTAGCAGGTTACCCTTTTCTAGGCCACAGGGCAGCAGGGCAGAGGGTGTAGAGCAGCTGCCCGAGCCCATCCCATTGGTCTGACCAGATGACGGCATGGTGCAAAAGCAGATGGCGATGCTGGGATTGTCTTGTGCTCTTCAGAGGTGGCATGGGGATGGCACAGAGGTTTTCCGCCTGGCTGCCTCGAGACAAGCTTCTCCCTGAACGGCAAGGCTGTGCAATTACCATCCTAGCAGGAGGTCCTGCATCTCCTATTCAACCTCAGAGAATGTACAACAAAATACAGGCCAGACCAGCTGGCAAACTGCACACCAGCTCTACCTCAAAGATGATGAACACGCCTTTTGAAAACATCTCTTAGAGACAGCACACAGCCTATGCTTTCAATGTAAAAAAATAAAAATAAAAATTGTAAAAACAGGACAAAACAGATTCATGAGGAGAGGGGAAATACTCATCTGGTTCCTACAGGCATTTATCTTCATATGAACCTTATAGTTAATCTAAGATGACAGCACCACATGCCAAAATTTCCTTCCTACTGAAATAATCTAAATGATAATGTCATCTGTCACTTTGTCCATAACGTGATTTAGTCCCTTTCTCAGACGGAGGTTTAGGGAAGAAGGTTATTGGTGCGCTGATGAGTTTACAGAACTGGGTTGATGACACAAGCCATTTCAATGTACGGCCATACTCTGCAACCAGCAGGAGACGGTTAAAATCTTTCCTTTCAAGGGCCTCAATCAGGCTTAAAGGAAAACAGTAATCACTGTCTTTCAACTAGTCCCGGCCATGCTCGTCAGCCCTTTCCCTGGTGAGGCAGCCAGAGCAATCAACCTGCCAGGCATTAGGAGCAGATAGACAATCTGAAAATAAAGGGTATAATGCACCTGCCATCCAAAATGGCCATTTGGAGAAAAGCTAGTGATCCTGGTGACCCCGCTGGGGATGTGTGTGTGGGGGGGGTGGTAGCGCCTAGCCAGGGTGGCTGGTGGATGAAAGGGGGGCGTGGGGAGGAGGGAGTTGCATTTAACAGAATTCAACCGGATCACCAATGTCCCATACACTGACACCCCCCTCTCAAAGCAGGCCCAATTATGGCTTTTGTACCAGTTAAAAAAGCTCTTTGGGGAGAGTCGGACAGGATGGGGGAAGAGTAACCACAGGTCTCAGTCAATGGACAATATATTAATGCAAACATGGCCAGTGATATACAACTACAAAACTAAATGACCTTTGCTCTGTGTTGCAGGTGTCTTCCACTTTCTATATGTCCAGACAGAACAAGGAACTGATTTCAGCATGTTTGTCTCTGCTGAATAAAGGCCTGTAATGAGCCAACACACACAACCACATACACATCATTTTTGCTTTTTTCCAAGTTGCACAATGTCAGCGTCTGTGGTTGCGTGTAGTAGTGCAGCCAAGTTTAAAACTTGTGCAAACAAAAGGCATCAGCAGTCAGACTTTTGTCAATCTGATAACAGTGTTTAGCCATCTGTAAAACAGAGGTCTATTGTTTCCCACTTCTCCAAAGGTGGTTACACATGTCTCTGCTGACACTGAGGTCTAAAGATCACAAACATGGCAATGGTAAGCAGAAAGCCACAACCAGGACTCAGACAACACGCAGACTCTTACGTGAAACTGAACACAAAAAACAAAACAAAACAAAAAAAAATCATAAAGGTGTAGAAAACTGAAATCATACAACCATAAACCGCAACAAACAATGAGAATATACCAAAATTTCCCATTCAAATTTATTAGCTGCTGTATGACAGAGGGCTACAATACACTTTTAACAGTACTAATCATCAAGTGCATAAAATCTGACCACATTTACAAGTGGCACTTCAAACAAGGCATTCATTAAGGGCTTTTGTGATTAAAAGTTTGAACCTGCCTCTGAATTCAGAGTGATTAAAACAATCACATTCAATTAAATATTAGATTTACTAAACTGCTCCGCATACTTATAATCCTAACAAGCCTTTTTAAACGCTGCACCAGACCAACCACTCCACACGCACACAACCCCCCATCTCCCCCAACCTCCAACAATATCTTACTCCATAATTACAACCTCTTGCTGAGGAGAGCATACTGACACTGCATAATACCTACTGGTGCATGTTGGGAATACTGTGGCAGCACCAAGGATATTAACCAATCTGATGGCTTAAATCAAGGGCTTAAAAAAAAAGCTTACAGACTAAAAATGGATGGCTGTTGTGCAACGGTCACAAACCTGTAAAAATTAAGATATAGGCCGACAAATATCAATATGGAATCCAGCTTTATATAGTGCTAATAAGACACAGGTGAGACTTCAGGCACCAGAATAACAAAGACTGTCAAGTACTTCTCTGATGATAAAATGTACATCTGTCCTCATTACCAACAAATAAATAACATAACAATGAAGATGCTTTCTCCTGGACTGCTCGCGGGGTCTTTCTTTGGGTCAACAGGGCAGGTGATGTTAAAAACCATAAATCCTTTACGCTTTTCTCCAGGGAACCCTCGGTTTACAGCAACTAGGGCAGGGCCGCCGCTCCCTCTAATGCCACCGCCTGCTGACCTTGAGAGTGCTGCGGCGCTACCTCTTTTTGACAACACGATAAATCTCTCAATCACAGACCAGGCCCGACACCACCCCACATATCACAAATGCGCCGAGGGGAGCAAGCCGGGAAGGGGGGGGGATGCCGCCGTCTCATCGAGTGCCAAAAGTGATGGTGTGAAAATGCACAATGTCACTGAGTGTGTTTTGTTATGTGCCTGTTCGGTGAAGGGAGAAGACAGGGAAGCGAGGGAGTTGATGAAATGATTACATAGTGGCAGAAGGGGGGGGGTGCAAAAGCTGGCAGAAACCGTTGCTGTTTAACCCAGTTTTACAGTGCCCAGTAGAGTCCAGAGTAAAGAGTGATGAGGAACACAGGGATGCTCTTCATCCTTCACTAGTTCTGCTTATAGGTTTCCACAAATATAACACAATTTTGTCTTACTCACGCTTCATGCCACCTCAGAATTTTCTACAGATCACCTGATCGGACAACAACCAACAATCAGTACACTGTTTAAAATCCTAACCAGGCTTTCAAGGATGCTTAAAAAAATGTGTTAGCTGATGCAAATAAATTGACCAAACTACAAAAATAAAAAAAGACTCACTGCCGTGGCTATAATTTGAGGTATTGTCAGCTCTATGACTAGTTCTGATATCTCTTGGAAATAAAGAAAAACACAAGAACAAAAATCTTCCACAGGATCTAAACACATTATCATTAAATCAGCCTAGAACAAGAAGCACACCCACAAATACTGTGTATTTTATGGAATGTGTTCAACATATGGATGTTAGTGGTAGCCCAAATATTCTTTTTAGCCAACCACACAAAAGCTTCAGTGCAGCAATTATATACATATCGACATGCTTCAGGGGCAGCGAGCAGTTGTATGCACGGTGCTTCATATCTTCCCCTCCGATCACATTTCGTCTTCCTGTCGCTGGTTTTCTCATCCTGCTCATTAATTACACCAAAGCGGAGCTGGTTGTAGAGCTGCATGTGAGACTCAGAAGAGCAGAGCTTGTTGGAATTTAATATCTGCTCTGACTTCTTATGTTTCCTGGGCCTCTTGTTTTTTTTTTACTTTAATCTCACTGCTTGGTAAAATCAAATCTCTTCCACTTGTAGTTCATTTCCTGTATCCACTTGTACACTCATACAGCCCACAGTACCCCTTGTTATGAATAATTCTCATGAAGTGCTGCATCCTCCATACAACAAAATAAACCTTTGTTAGCGCTATAAATTTTATTGGACCAATGCCTTTTTATGATGCACACAATCATGCACATGCACACACTGTTTTTGTTTATTTTTCAATGTTAACCTGTAAAATAATATGTGAGAAAGCACCTTCTTTTTGCTGGGCCATGACGGGAGTCTGGGTCTCTTTTGTGTATGACACAATCTCACGTGGAAGGAAGTCCACTTGTGTGACTTTGGCCATTCCCAGTTTTGGAGTTCCTCGCCTAAAAAGCACAAACCAACTCAAACTTTGCACCACATCTCACAAAACAGTAATGATTTTAACAAGAGAAAAATTGTCCACTCTCATCTGTTTTTAGAACAATTCTCACCTCTGTGCAACTGAACTCGTGCTGATCAAAGTTAATGAATGTTTGATGGGATGGCTTCACATTAGTTTAACAACCAGTGTGAATTAAGTAAAAGGTCTTGTATGAACGACTTAACTGTTTTCCTGGACTGCATTAACTAAATAATGACTTTTAAAGACAAAGTAATCATGCCAGAGATTGAGAGAAGGGAAAATGACCAGGAAAGGAGAGAAGAGAGTGTCCAGTACCCCAGCTCAGAATCAGAGTGAAGTTGAAGGGTGGACGGATCAGAGTCCCAGTGCAGAGTCCTGGTTAGTGTCACAGCAACAAGGCAGCATTAGTGAGAGAGACAAGCAAGCACAAATGAAGAGAGCATATCAAGTTAGCATTACGGCACCCAACATGCTGATTGGATCCTTGGTCACAGATCAGTTAAATTTGCATGTTAACAAAACACTTAAAACTGCATATTTCTTTCTTTTTTGTTGGACAAATCAAGCTTCAATCTATCTGCACTGAGAGGTGGAAGAAGGTACTTGCTTAAAATGCACGGACACACAGGGCCTCTGACTGTGATGACACGGGGTATAATCTGCAGCCTGCGGGGCTGATACTGCCTGAACTGTGTCACACCAAAGGTTCTGAGTGTTGTGTAGACAGAGCGAGAGGGAGAGAGAGACCCCTCAGGGAGAAAACATGACCTCCATGTGTGTAGGAAATGGCCATGCTGGTGAGGGAAATGAGTCAACACGCAGGGGGAACAGCTCCCTGGGCCTGATGGGACACTGGGGGAGCTTGAATTTCAGCCCAGGGAAGGGGCTCTAATTAGGGGTTAAGAAGTCCCCCAGGCATCACAGCGGCCTGCTGTTTTATTGTTAATTTAGGATCGTCCTAATTCAACAGCACAAATTAAATAAACATGCACTCAGTTGGTATAAACTTGTCATCGTTCATTGTAATGCTATGAGGCTTTGGAAAAAGTTTGAGCTCAGCTGGTGTTAATATAATCAGCCTTTACATACAGTCACAGCCTTTGCAGTTTGGAGTGATGCAAAGCTTACAAGACAAAAACAAACTTAAGTTTGCCTAAGCAATATAAAAAGTGTTTTAAATGCTTTATATATTTTTTGCAGTGCAGCACATTTTCAAACATCGTGTTGGCATAAGCATAAACGAGCACAAAAAGAAGACAAATAGTACTTATAAACATTTTATCTTTGGTGGAGAAAGAGCATTGAATTAAGAGAAATAGGGACCTTGGCATTGTTGCAACACTTATGAAGTCCTGTACTGGAAGTGGGAAAGATCTTTTCAAGTCAAACATTTGCTGAGATGGGTGTGTGTGTGTGCATGTGTGGGTGTGTGTGTGTACCTGGGCCCCACGGCTCCATCAGAGTCCTGGCTCCCTGCCTCACTTGGCGTGCCCGCTGATTTGGCAGTTGGAGACATGGGAGGAGGGACTGCACAGCAAGAGACAACAATCAACTGTAACAATGTAAAGACGCTGAGATAATCACAGCAAAATACATATGCATCCGTGCTATAGCAGCAACTTTGTTATATCAAATGTTTGACATATACTATCGTTATACTGACTTATTGACAGATATTATTGGACATGTTTAAATGTATGTAAACCCTTGAAATTAGTAACAAATCAAGTTCAAGTTTACAAATGCATGCCAGCACAGCCCATTCTTTTATATAAACGTGTGAACAGAACATGTTTGAATAAATACAATAATAAGTGTAACAAATAGACAAAAATGTTTTGTCATTTCTGTTTCAAGTTTGTTTGCATGTTTGCTATGAAGCTTGTAAAGATTTTTGTATGGATCTCTTCTGCCACCTGCTGTTAGCAACATGACAGTGCTCCACATTTCCAGGTCTGGGACAATGTAAAGGTAGCATGAGCATAAGTGTACCAGTGCTCGTTTCTTTCATCAGTGCTTCCACTTGCACTGTACAGGTGTTCAAAGACATTTTTGTAAAAGCTTCTATCATCTTGACTGATGCCATATTGAAATACACTTTTGCCTCCTTCAGGCTTCCACTTACCACAACACTTACTCTGTGAAGTTTCTTATAACTAATCTCTAGCTGGTAGCCTGGTAAAAAAAAACATGTTTTAGGTAATTTCCCCACTACTTTGTTCTGCTTTAGGGGCCTCTGTTTTAAGAGGGTAATGAATCATATGGCATCAGCCTAGCGAACACCCCCATACACCATCAAACCCTCAACCTTATATCAAAATTTAGCAATATAACCTCAGTCATGCAGCCAAAGTTTAACTGTCTGAAGACAAAAACTGAAACAAGGCATGAAAATATTAAGTTCAGGAATCCTGTTGAGGAGACTGTGCAACAGTCTGCAGATTATAGTTTTTGTTGTTTTTTTTATTTATACACAGCATTCATTTATAAACAAATATAGCTTTCATATTTGTTGTGCTATCTTTATGTTAAGTTCTTGATATGTTTGCTGCCAACCTTTAAAATAAAGCTTAGAAGGAAAAGTTGCTGTCAGAATTTTATAACGGTACAAATTGCAAAATACAAACACAGGTGACATGAGACATACCAACAGGAACCTCTGGAGTTATGCCCATACTCTGCAGCAGGGCATCAGCCTCACGCCTTTTTTTCTCCAGGTCAGAGTCATCTTGATGAACTGCAGCATCTTTCAACTGATCTGCCTAGAAACAGTGCATACCTTGTTAATGCCGTCTTTATGTATCCATATTACAGACAATAGGGTGTACAGAATGTATACATATATATGTGGGTTACTTCTACCCACCAATACATTGTAGGGATAAAGTCTATGACCAGACAAAATTGCTAAAGCTTCATTTTTCCATGTTTACATCATCACCAGTGAAGTAAATGAGAAAATGGTCAACACAGATACTGTCTCAATCAAGCCAATTACTATAAGGCTAAAATTCCATATTTAATAACAGTGAATAAGAAACCAAATAAAATCAGCTAAAGTCATTACTTGTCCACAGCCCTGTGTTGGAGTTGTCTCTACCATTTCCAGACCAGGTAACATGGTGAAATGGTTTTTATAAACCTTTCTTATAAGGACAATACTACTAATAGAATTTTATTTTATTGAGTATAAACTGTATGTTACCCATTATTGTAAAACTGCATTTTCATACACACCACTCATTTACCAATCTAGATCTCATTCAAGAGAGGTTAACAAGGATGGTTATGTTAAGATCAGTATGCCAACTAACTCAGAAGGATCCTAAATGTATGGAAAAGGCATGGGAATTTGTCGTATATGTCGATCAATTATTTTTAAGATGCTTACACCAAGTCATTAATGGTTTTGAATATGTTTATTCGCCATATTCCTTTTCAGGTTCAATATAAATAAATATTCACAACATTAAGAAAATGTTACACCTAACGTTACCTCTTTCTTCTTCCGTTCCTCCTCCTTCCTCTTCTTCTCCTCTCTGATTTGTGCCAAGCGTTGCTTCTTCCTTTCAAGCTCTGCTTTCAACTCACTTTTGTCAGACATGATGCCACAACTGTAAATAAACGTATTTTAGTTACTGGCCCATTCAGAATTTATTTAAAAGATTGTATTTTTAAGCTCAAACGCCTAAATATTCTAAGACGTAAGTGTATTAAACAAAAGCCAAGCATCTTGGGAAGTGGCCCCTCTGTGTTTATACATACGTCCTTCTTTATAACAGTCTTTTAAAAGAAAAAACACCTTCTGTCTGTTTTAGTACCACCTAGCTTACCAATGGAGACAGCTAACGTTAGCTCCTCAACTTTATCTAGCAGGTGAAACTCTTTAACTGATCACCCAAGAGTGTTTTTTGTCTTCCGTGCAGCTTGGGGAGTTACAAACCTTTAGCTGGAGACAAATTTCTCATTACATGCAGGTCATTGTCAGTTAGCTCACAGAGGGCCCCACCCTACATTTGGAAAAACCATTCACACCCGGTCAGCTTAGCATGGGGTTTTGCGTGTTTTCTTAAGTTACTTGACTACGATCCTTACCAGTTAATACGATGCGTTATTTAAACGTTATCAATCATACCACACCTTCACAGGGATATTACCTAGCATCCAATCGGCATCAGCCACTGCTAACGTTAGCCTTCCCGACTATTTACTGGCTACAGGGCTAGCTAAGTTAGCCGTCATTGTTAGGCGTATTTAATCAGTAATTCCTAAGAAAGTGTCATTTCTTATAATAAACAGTCTTGACCATGGCAGTCAAAGTGCGATTTGTATCATTCAATCGATTACTTGTGGCTAGAGATGTAGCTTTGTTTGTCAGCGGCTCGCTACCACAGTTAACCGGACATCGGTCCGGTAATATCATGAGCTTTCAGCTGCACTGACCGCACGCTAAATAAACTAAGTTGGGATACAAACACAACGACAAATACAAAAACTGCACGAACAGCCAATGTGACAATGGTGTGCCAAGAACAAACCTCAAAAAGACTGTTCGACTTGACACCAAAAGCCTTGAACCAACAGCCAAAACAATCAAGATGCCAACCAAACTACGGGTGCCGTGAAGAGCCAAAACATGACATTTGTCTTAAACGTGGCTGTGTTGCTGCCATCAAGGGCTGGGTAAATCGTGTCGAGACAACTCGTTGGATTAGAAACTCATAGTGGTAATATACAACAATTGTTTGTTTTTTTTATCATGCCGATTGTAAGCCCCAGCTCGTGACTCTAATGTATTGCATACACTGACGTGAATGAAATACTAAAATCACAATCTGGATATATTTAATTGTACGTTAATTTCCCTCTTCAGGATTAACTGGATTAATAATATATTTATAAATAGTCAAAGAATAAAATCCCAGTTAAAAAATTGCAAATTTATTGTAAAATATAGATTCTGAATATATTTCAAACACATTATACCAATATCAGAATACCAAGAAATTAAAAGCCCATAGAAATCTTTTAAGATGATTTGTGCAGTGTGCCAATAAAGCATAAGATAGTTTATCATTACTTAAATGCACTTATAACAATAAATCATGGAGGAAACAACAAGCTCAAAATTTAACAAAATGAAAAAAACTGAAGCTCAACATGCAACCTCAGCAGAATCGCATTTATTCATTTTGACTTTCTCTGACCCGAGTAGACTGGGTGAACATGTATCAACACTGGAGACAGCATCAGTGATTAGTTAGTCTGATCATCTAATCTATTATTCCTCCTCCTGACATCTTCACTGGCCTCGGCATCAGTTCCAACAGACAGCTGAGACATGGCTGGACCAACTTTGGTGCTGTCCTCACCTCCCCCACTGGTATGCAAAATATGTAAGGTCTGCTCACTGGGACGTTTCCAAGATGGTCGAGTGACAATCCAGAGGACCAGAGCTCCAAAAACCACCAGGAAGACTCCCAAGATGTTCACAAAAATCGCCTCTGGAGGCAAGTCCTTGTATTTTGGGTTGTTCCTTTGTCATGAAGTACAAAAGAGAAAGTTATACAGATGTTGCAAATTAGCATTGTGCACCTGGGTCTTCAAGAGTGTTCTAAGCATTTTTAAAATACTTACAGACCAAAAATAAGCTTCTCTGTGATGCCCATGAGTGCCACAGCTATAATACTGGTAAAGAGTAAAAGACCACTGTAGACATGAACAGGCATAAGTGCTGCTCTCCAGGATACAGGTGTAACTGGTATCAGGAACATGCCAACTCCAAGAACAAGCTGCTCATTGAAGGACAGCGAGAGAAATAAAGACTGTTATTTATCATGACTTTGCATTTTACAGAAGACAACACGGAAAGAGGTTATTGTTGCCTGGTGCTGTTAAAAAGAATCTCACTATCACATGTGTAAGACATACTCTCCTACTCTGCATGGACCATGTTAAACCAGTTCATTATTAAAAATGTTTAACTCTTATCAGAATCAGATACAATGGCAGAGTATGTTGAACACGCAGTGAATATGACTCCAGCCTCTCAATGTGCTCACAAAACCAAGAGTCTTGGTCTCTCTCTCTCTCTCTCTTTTTTTAAATCAGTTGTGTCAAATACATATAGAACATTTTGCTTTATTTACCTGCATACCGTACAGTATCACAACTACCAGCCCCAGCCAGCTGTGCAGACTGTACAGGTTGGGGATTTTGGCACCATTGTGGAAGTCAAAAACTGCCACCAGTGATATAACAGCAAAGATGAAGGCCAGCAAGTTCAAGCCTGCATGGATGAACTTCATCATTAGTTTGCTGCACTGCCAGGTCCAGGGGAGCCTGTAGACAATTATGGCTGTAAGAGAGCATTACGTCAATTTACACTGTTGTTCAAACAGGGCTTGATGTATGATATACATTATCATATTTTGACAATATTAAATTCATTGTCATTAAAAAAGTAGACATTACATTTAGTGAAGCTTTTGCATATGAAGAGCACCGAGTGAAATCCAATATGCGTTTTTTAATACTTTGTTGCCTTATGTAACTTTTTTTATTTTAAGACTAAGTGTTCTTTCTGGCTTTTGACTCTTTACTTGACTCCAAAGGAGAGCTGCACAAGAATTCCTATACGTCTAGACTGTCTGTTTATGCATAAATGGTAAATAAAAATCTTGACTTGATGAAAGGTATGATGGTAACCACTCTTGTCATTAGACAGTATAGATTACTTTTTATTAATAGGTGAAATATACATCCCAGGTCAACATCATGCAGTAGCAAACTCAGATGTAAAGCCATAATGTCAGATTAATTCATATTTATATTCACAATTATTCGCTTTACATTACTGCTATGTGAACAACACTCCTAGAATAGGTATTCTGAGTAGATAAAAATAACAGAACAATATAAAAATACTAAGTTAAAAATAAGAGAGCTAATAAACAAACATATTACCAGCAAAATACCATAAGGTCATCTGTGCTGAAAGAAGAGCCACACACCAAAACAGCCTTCTATGCGGACCTCCATGCCCCATAGAACTATTTACAAATGGCCAAAGCCCATAAATCCCATCAGAAGGGCCCTCAGTCATGGTGCACTGCCCCAGCTAACTGGTCCCACCCCCATAACAGAACATGAACACAACAGTCTCTAACCCAGCAAGAATGCTGGAGGACCATGCCCAGCGAGAGACATGACTTAAAAGTATATATGTTTTATTTCTCTCTGAAATGAGAGATAAATTAGAGATAGAGTTAGAGATAAATTTATCTCTATTTCCACCACTGGTAAAGAGTAGGCCTAAGTTTCATAGCATTGCCTAACACATGCAGTTTTGTGGGCCCACACTGAAACAAACTTTTGAAAGGTTTATTTGGTTTCTACACCTTCATAGTTACGCATTCTTCAGCAGTTATATCCCACAAAATAATTGGAAAAGCGAGCAACAACTTCGGCTATTTGTTTACATTTCTTCAACACAACAGCCAAGTCCCGTTTGCTCTTCGTATTTCTCTAAAATAAACAGTTTCTCTCACCCATTCCGTGCAAGAAAATAAAAACAACCCCCCCGGCGGCGGCGGCAGACAAAACAACCAGAAACTGCTTCAGATCCTCCATGGCCACCACTGAGCAGCAGGTCGGAGCCACTCGACTGGAGCAGTTCTTATCACAACACTTCAAGTGGTAGCTGGTAAGGACGGAGCTCGGTCACGTGACCCAGAGCTGAGCAAACGTTTGGAGGAAAAGACGTCTTGTAATTTTTGTGGTCTATTCGGACCAGATGTTTTCATTTTTGCGTTGTCACCCTTTGACGTTCATCCGATATGTTTGTGTGCTTCCTTTTTCACAGTTGTAGCCTCAGTATCTAGATGAATCAGGTTGGGTAGTTGTAGTATTTTTTGTACTCTAATGTATAGTCCTACTCGGTTTTCAAGTCCATGAGGTGCACCTAATTAAAATTAATGCAGCCTAGTACGGCACAAAGATAATAATGTTCAATGCTGAACATTAAGATGAAATATTCGTGACTATTATAGTCTTGCAACAGTGCTCTTGGATGGTTATGAGTAATATTTACACGTTGTTTTAATCATATGACAACTGCGTTTTCTGTTACTAATGGACACGTGAACTGGGCCTAGCTTTTCACTGTAGCATTTATAGTTAGTTTGTTGGTTTTAACTTTATGGTGTAAACGTCTTTTATGATGTAAACAGTTTTTCCTGGTGTAAATAAAGGTCATGTGCAAGGTCAAGTTTGGGTGAAAACTCATTCGTGTGATTTATTCAAGTTAAACGTGTAGATAATTTGGGGTCTACTTAAAACAGTTGGCAATATGCTTAAAGTTGCACCTAAAGATCATTTCATCTCCTGTTCATTTAGACACTTCTCACTTAATCAAAACAAACGCCACTGTGCACGGAGTCTGGAATCTGAAAGCAGCAATCATTTGTGAAACGTGATGCTACCGCCATTTATAATCTCCAGTAAAGTGCTGCTGGTGAATCACTACGTCCATCAGGCCTGTGAAGGCGTGGCTGCATCAGGTTTGATTGACAGCTGCCTGGCAACATAAGCAAACAACCACACAACCAGCATCTGATTGTGGTATACACACAAGTAAACTGCCCCGCCCACTTCAGATCAGCGGAGGACGGTGTGTCTTCACTTAAGACCCCATCACTCACAGTAAGAAGCTGTGACATTTGTTTTCAAAGGCTGCTCCACCTTATTTGAAGCATAAACTTACATGACTGTGGATGGTGAAAGCAAATATACAATTCGCAATTTTAGCCACATACATATTTATATGGAAGCACTTTATATGACTATGTCAAATGAGCATAGTGGAAAACAAAATGAGAAATAAATAGAGTTACAATATGTTGGAAAAATATTTTACCTTTATTGTAAAGAAACTGTACAGACATAATAAAAAAATAACAATGGAGAGACTAACAATGATTAAACAACTAACTTGATTATAAAGCGTAATTTGCACACACAAAAAAGAATGGCACGGTGGTCTAAATTGACAAACAGCACTATGAGCCTTCCAGAAAGGCTCAACAAAAATACAGCTTGGAAACAAATGTTTACAAAATTATTTTAAAAAGTAGTCATGTAATGGCTTCCAGCAGCTTAATTCACTTCTGCACCACTTATATCCTGGTGGCTGTTAGTTTGTAAACATGGCAGCAGAAGTTGGTTTTCTTTTGTTCAACATGAATTATGGTGTCTTTGTCAAAGAACAACTCGTGCTGATAGGTCTAAAAACAAAAGACAAAAACCACTCATGAATCCAAATATACAGACACTGAAGCCTAATGTTGGTACGGTACATAACATAAATAAGTACACCCTCACTAAAACTTAACAAATTTAGTTATCTCTGCTTAACCAATAAGGCATATTTGGGTTTCTTAATGATGTAATTTTTAACAATGCTGTTTGTATTGTTTAACAATGAAACATAACAATATTAAACAGCATGGTTGGCAATTAAAAGTGGCATTTAAACTGTTAAACCTCTGTCACACTTGTTGCTCACAACAGTGGCACCACATGGAAGAGAACCGTCTGGAAACTGGTGGTGTCACAATACTGGAAGTATGTCAGCTGACCTCGACCCAACTGAGCACCGGTGGGGGATTCTGAAGAGACAAGCTGAGGAGCAAGTGTCAGGCGCTCAAGGAGGTCATCCTCCAGTAGCTTAACAAGACAGACCTAACCATGTCATGAACACTCACTAAGAAACCCTAGTGCTGTACTTGAAAAAGGAGGACATATTATGTACTAGAAAATCACTTTTTCAAGAATTTAATCAGGGATGTACTCATTTTTGCAACCCTTGATCTGAGCAAAGTTTCCAACTGGTAACTTATTTCATAGTTATTGACGACAAATCTTCCTATGTTGTTATTAAGCATATTTTGTCTTTCTATCAGTTGTAATGGTGATCTTATAAAAATAAAAAATGTATCTTTATATCCAGAGGGGGTGTACTCATCTATGTTGTATACTGTACAGTCATGGCAAATTACTCACCTCATCCCAAGGTTCATCCAGATACACTGTCCGCTGTAACTGCCCACTCTGGTTGTCATGAAGTCGGATGTGAGCTCTTCCTTCTCCCTCCTCACTGTTAGTGGCCACTACTACCAAAAGGTCTAGTTCATCCTCATAATCCACCATACGGAAAGTCTGCAAAATCACAGTGTTAAGGGGTTTTCAGATAGGAGGTGGCAGGTGCTGCGATCCGCTATCGAACCCATTCATTTCTATGTGTTGCGCCGAGACAGAGCGAATTAGCTACAGTCAGCTAAAGTTATTCATTCTGAATTACCACAATCAGTAAAGTGAGATATAAAATTATTTATGCAACTTTTTTAGCCAAACAAAACAACAATGTATGCAAATGCAGCGCATATCTTTCAAACCTGTGCACCATCCCAACATTCAATATGGCGTGACACACCTTCACACGCACACACACACACACTCTCTCTCTCACTCACTCTGTAATGGCAATTTTCAGTATATTCATTTACATTGTTCATTTACATATGAAACTATAGTCTGCTAACAACTGTGGTAACCTTTCACACACTGGACATGTAAACTATGTTTTCTGCTGACACACTGAATGCCTAAGGTATCTTTGTTTACTGCACAAGCAACTGTAACATCCGCAGTCCTTGAAAGTATCTCCTGTGAACCTCAGTGTCTTAGATGCCAGGAAACTCTTTGAACACAGATGCATGATTGTTTAAAGTGTACACTCCTTTGAGTGACGTTATCTTCTGCTTTATATTGAATTGATTCTCCCTTATTCTTTGAGTCGCTGTAACATGCCTCTCTGAGTGCTGCTGTAGACAACTCTTTTCTGCAGAAATAAATTACACAGAAGACGTATCCAACTCAATTCTCTTTATTTTTCGCTCACCGATGGTTGTTCATATATTATACAAAATTAAGGAAAGCACAATTTTTTCCCTAACACTCTCTCTCTCTCTATTCAACTGTATAATTAACTTAGATCCTATTCCTATTGTGTCCTAGTGCTTTTTTAAAAGCAGCACATAATGTAAATGTCATTATTCTGGTACCTCTTGATCTGGGTCATCATCCAGCTGATGAAATCTTCTCTTCACGATGCGGCCCGATGAGGTGACAGTGACTTGTGAGGTAACCTGCAGTAGATGAAAACTAAAAGTGAATTTTCTGAGATTACAGAACTGTACGTACAATCCATCTATACAGTGAGGAGCTAAGTAACTTCGTTGCTCGAGATATGCCAAGTTATTGCATGGGATCTCCTACCAGTGTCAAGGTGAATGTACAGTAAGTACATGAGGCTGATTCATGATAGATGTAAACCAAGTATGTACAGCATATGAAGTATTAAGGCTTTCAACCCAATAACCATTATACTTGCATTGTTGTTTCGACAAGTCTTCATGGAGAAATCCTCAACTACCTTTGATGGCAACCCACTGTTCGGTTCACCAAGAATTTTAAGGACACTGAGGAAAAACAAATTTTTCCTTGTGGAACATTTTCAGTATAATAAAAAATATACATCTCAAGGAACATAATATGCTCTCTTCAACGTTGTGTAAAAGTTGACTGTACTCACTTTATGGTGGTAGGGCCGATGTGGATGATTCTTCCTGAGTCATCAGGATGGAAGAAGATTGCATCACTCTCCAGAGAACAACAGTTCATGTTCTGTATTCCATTTGTTGCCTGTTAGAAAATATAATACAATAATTACAAAGTAATAACTCAAATTGCAAACAGTGCCATGAGTACATCTACACTTTCTCTTCCAGTTTAAGAAACATTAAAAACAAATGTACCCAGTGAGTTAAACATTAAACTTTCATGATGTGCAGCTGGATTTGTGTGGTTCAGTCTATGGAGCATCAACTAGCAGACACTTGTTAAAATGATACTCCACTCAGAGTGTACTGTTTGCATACAGCCTAGCCACTAAAGACTTAGGTGGTTGTGTAAATGCTGCTTGCTTCTGGTGCAACTTTAGAGCTTTAAGGAATGTTGTTTGATAATTAAGACAACTTTTAGTCAGTTTAATAAGTTACCTCCTAATGATGTGCACTGCATTCAACTTCAAACAAATATCAATATATTTCTTTTTTACACTACAAGCTTATACAACATACAGTATCAGGCAGTGATCAGGGAAAACAAAACTGTGGCCCTTTGTGTTTTGGAAACCTTGAGACCATCCCATCTGCTCAGTAACTGAATGCAGAAACTGTCAAAAACACCTGTGGCCCTTCTTACCCTGATATTTTCAACATCCTACAGGGCTATCACACCACACAACTTGTAGCAAAGCATGTCACATTTTGTTCTCAGATAAGCACAGTTATTTAAATGTGGTGGTATATTGTATGGTTAGGTAGGTTCATTAAAAGTACCCTAGTGCTGTCCTTGAGTGAACAGATGTGGTGAGTCCCCTTGTGATTTCTATGTGGTGGTGTGTAGATGTAGTGCCATGGGTGGCCTCCAATCTGAACACCACTGTTAAAGCATGACACTTCGAAAAGTACTGGAAGGCAATCTGCAATAAGATAAAAAAAAACACTCCTGCTTACAGAGGTCAAGTAGGTCTATAAAAATACCATAGGTCCAAACCTAGACAGACTAACCTGTAATCTGGATATTTACTGGGATACCAAATGGAGCCTCTCCCACTGTTTTGCCTCCAAGAAGTGAACTCTGCTTTCCAAGAATTAAATTCTCCGTCATGTACTGAAAACAATGAATGGGATTTCAAAAATATTCAGATGCTGCCAGGTGGCCCAAAAGAAATAATTAACATGTAAATCTTCACAGGTGCATACCTTTTCAAAAAATAATTTTTTTGATGATATTTTTTAAAATTTTGATTGAATTAATACAGTGACATTGTGCAGATGCTCTTTCAGGACAAAAAATACACACCCTATGCACAATGTGCTCAAAGCTGTACAGTCTCACACACTTGCTGTAGGACACTGCAAGGACACCTTCAGATAGAAGTACATCGGTTACACCACTTCCAAATACCTGAAAGAATAAGATTTACATTTATATATTGACATATCACTCCCACGAGCACATTCTTAATTCTTAATGTATATACCTTTTTGTTGATCTCCAAAATGCCCACAATTTGCAAGGGGAAAATATGAAAGATGGCCAGAGACATCACTGTATTCTGAGTGACACCTGCCTTTGGAATTAAAAAAAGAAATTGTGAGATATGGCCATTTTCAATATTTTTGCTTCTACAAAGTCCATGTACAATACAGAAAGATCCCAAACTTTATTACCCTTCAAAAGTGTAATACAGTGTAAAGTGTAAAACAGATACATTCACCTTACCTGTCGTGCTACAGGTGTTTCCTTGTTTTGAACAGATTTAACATAAAGCGTCCCCTGAGGAGCATCCCAGCCAAGATACCTACAAAAAGCAGCACAGAGTAAGGTGAAAAGTTTATAAATTAAAATGAAATACATGTAGAGGAACTGAGAACACAGAGCTGTAACAATACCTGAACTTTTGTTTTGAAGAGAGGTACACTCTCTGCAGCTCCTCTCCTGAGTCGGCTGAAAGGCGACACAGCCAGTTGCTGGCCGTCAAAACCAAGAGGCTAGGGTTTTTTGTGATCAGAGGGAGAGAATAATGTTTTTTCCTGTCAGCGTGAAAGAAAAACCAATGGTTTGAAAGTGGGTTATTAAAATCTGTTCTTTGGAAAGCATCCCCCCAGTGTAAATTCAAATAACTTTTGTTTAATTGAACTTACAAGTGGGCTCTGAGACAGCAAGGCATCTTCAAATTTCTCCAATTTTGATCTCTTGGGCAATTTGTACAAAATTTGAGGCTCTGCATGAACACTGAAATCAGAATAAATAATTGTGTCTGTGTTCGAGTATAAACCTCTATGAACTATAGGAAGAAAAAAGAATTAGGGAAAATAGTAAGAGACAAAAACAATCCATATAAAGTCAAATTGCCTGACATCTGGAAAACCATATACTGAGAAAGATGAAGCCTGGCACCAAAATCATACAAGAAGGAAAATTCTGATGACTGTTTTGCATGGTTTGCTTTAGATTATGATGTGCAGGCATTACAGTCTGCTCTGCAAATGAATTACATCTCACAGTGGGTCTACTGGAATTCCCAGAATTTTTTTTTTTTTTTTTTTTTTTTTTTTTTTTGAGGATGAATAACAACAGTGTGCATTTGAACGATGAACTGTAACTTACATATGCCAATTTGGAAGATGTTGCCATTTAACCTTTATCTGTAATGTTTCATTTTTACTGTAAGGTCAATATGCTAAAAAGTTCATAATTCAAGTTAGCCTAATTATACATACTCACCTGCTATAGCAGTTCTGGTAACTATTAAAGTAGATTTTTCCATTCCCATACTTTATGGTCGATTTTGAAGTTTGGCTCCATACTTTCATGAAGGTCCTGCTACCCTACAGATTACGTTACCAATAATTTTAAAAAAGAAAAATTTGTAAAACATGAATTGGAAGGAGTCCGCTGCAGTAAATATTTAATTGCCTTGTTTTCCATTACCTGGAGGGTGATACCTCTAAGGACCTTCATGTTCATTC